AAGGTTGGGCGGGTGGCTGGGGGAGGAGGGGGAGGGGGGGGCGGTAACCGGTGCAGCCCTGTAGACGTTTCAGGGGTCGCGCCTTAACCGCGTCCCCAACACATTTTTAACCTCTTGGACCGCCGTCGCCGCCGCCCCCGGGGGGGTCGGGGGGGGGGGTTTATGGCGTGGACGAAGCGCGCCAATTCGTCACCGGTTCGGCGCCAGCCCGCCGTTAACGTTAGCCGATAACGTTTGTCGGGGTGAAAAACCCGCGGCACTTCGCCAACAGGCTACCGGAGTTTCAATCGTCGCGGTGGGCTCACGCGACCGGCGAGTGCTGAGCCGGTGGTGGCGAATTGGCGGCGGTTTTGCCCACGTGACTTAGCCCCCATCAGTTATTTGCTCTGCGTTTGGGTGGTGTTTGGCGGGCGTGACGACGCATTTACAGTGTCACGCCATCTAACCCCAGAACATTGACCGCGGAAACCTTTCGAGGTTGCTCAGCGGAAATGGGGTTCTTGAGAGGGGAGGAGGAGCGGGGAGGAGGGGGTAGAGGTGGGAGGAGGGGGGAAGAGGGGGTGAGGGGGAGGAGGGGGGAGGAACGCAACAACATGAATGAGAATCATTGGAGATAGGGGCAAAGTTAGACCTTCGCCCGTCACTTAGAGACCCATAGATTCACTTAGAGACCAATAGACTCACATAGAAACCCATAGACTCACTTAGAGACCCAGAGACTGACTTAGAGACCCAAGGACTCACACAGAGACCCATAGACTCGGGTAAAGACCCATAGACTCACATAGCAAACCATGGACTCACACAGAATCCCATAGACTCACAAAGAGACCCATAGACTCACCTAGGTACCCATAGACTCAACACAGAGACCCATAAACTCACGTAAAAACCCATAGACTCACACAAACACCCATAGACTCACAAAGAGACCCATAGACTCACGCAAAAACCCATAGAATCACACAGAGACCCATAGACTCACATAGCAAACCATGGACTCACACAGAGACCCATAGACTCACGCAAAAACCCATAGACTCACACAGAGACCCATAGACTCACGCAAAAACCCATAGACTCACACAGAGACCCATAGACTCACGCAGAGACCCATAGACTGACACAAACCCAGCGGTGATTAAAGAATATTGATGGACATTGAGTGAACGATCTTGGACGGAGCTGCAAGGGAGGAGGGTGACCTTGATCCTCCGACTCCTTTGAGAATGGTCGCCACTCCCACAGACAGGAAGTCATCTCGGAGAGCACGTGCTCTTGGCCCAGTTAATAAATAATAACATTACGCTCATTTTCGTGGTGATTTTACGTAATTGTCCCGGATAACAATTATTTATTGTGATTTATTATTGGTGCGTGCTCTCGACCGGAGAGAGAGAGCGAGAGAGGAGAGGAGAGAGGAAAAGAGGAGAGAGAGAGGCGAAAGAGAGAGGAGATAGTGAAGAGAGAGAGAGGAGAGAGAGAGCAGAGAGAGCGATAGCGACATGGAGTAGGAAGAGAGAGGGTAGAGAGAGGGGAGGGGGGCAGAGAGGGGGGTAGAAATAGAGGAAAGGGGTAAGCTGAGCAGTGTGAGAAATATTTTGTTAAATCTTTCATTTAAAAAGGGGCGGGGGGGGGGGGGTTACATAAAGCAAAGCATTAAAAAAACGAAATGATGAACGAAGCAAAGTGCTGACTACACCGAGCATCTTCTTGTTTCCTCTGATCGTAAAAAAAGAGAGAGAGAGGAGAGAGAGGAGATAGTGAAGAGAGAGAGGAGAGACCCCAACCTCTTCACGGGCTGGTCAACGTGCTCTTCGGCTACGCCAAGCTCGCCATATACAGGGCGAGGAAGGTAGCCCTGGAGGGGCAACGTCCAGCCAGCAGCCTGGACATCTTCCGCGCTCTGGTCGGAGCCAGGGTGTGTGGGCTGGAGTTCCGCCGTGCGCGGCTGACCCACGCCGTGCCGGCCTTCAAGGAGCAGTGGGCGCTGGAGGAGGCCGTGTGCTCGGTGGCAGATGACGGAGAGCTCTGCATGCAGATATAAGCTACCCGTCGGAGGCCGTTTGACTGTGGGAAGGGCTGCGTGCAGATGCAGCACTTGTCGTAGTTATAGAAAAAGAGAGAGAGCGAGAGAGTGGGCGAGAGAGAGCGAAATGGAGTAGGAAGAGAGGGGGCAGAGAGAGAGGGGGGGGGGCAGAGAGGGGTGTAGAGAGAGAGGAGGGGCAGAGAGGGGGGTAGAGAGAGAGGGAAGGGGTAAGGAGAGCAGAAAAAAACTATTTTGTTGGGTCTTTCATTTAAAAAGGGGGGGGGGGGGGGGTTACATAAAGCAAAGCATAAAAAAACAAAAAAAACCGAAATGATGAACGGAGCAAAGTGCCGACTTCACCGAGCATCTTCTTGTTTCCTCTGATCGTAAAAAAAAGAGAGAGGAGAGAGAGGAGATAGTGAAGAGAGAGAGAGGAGAGAGAGGAGAGAGAGGGGACAGAGAGAGAGAGGCAAGAGAGGGGAGAGAGAGGAGAGAGGGGAGAAAGAGAAGAGAGGAAAGAGAGGAGAGAGGCGAGAGAGAGAGAAGATAGTGAAGAGAGAGAGGAGATAGAGGAGAGAGAGGGGACAGAGAGAGAGAGGCGAGAGAGGGGAGAGAGAGGAGAGAGGGGAGAAAGAGAAGAGAGGAAAGAGAGGAGAGAGGCGAGAGAGAGAGGAGATAGTGAAGAGAGAGAGGAGAGCGTGAGGAGAGAGAGGGGAGAGAGAGGGGAGAGAGGGGAGAGAGAGGGGAGAGAGGGGAGAAAGAGAAGAGAGGAAAGAGAGGAGTGAGGGGGGAGAGAGAGGGGAGAGAGAGAGGAGAGAGAGTGAACCGTGGCGTGTGTACGGGAGAGGAAACACAAACGCGATGCCCCCACCCCCCAATCCCATTTGTTGCCGGTCAACCGGGCCCACGGAATGGATTTGGATTCGCGTGATCTCGGCGGCAACGCCCGGCACTCCTCCCCGGTGGCACGGAACGGATTAAAGGGCATTTAAATGTTGTCAATTTAACGAAATCCCTTACCTCTTCGTGTGTGTTCATTACTGTCAGTCTCATTTTTGCTGTTGTTGCCATATTTGAGGGTTAATAAGGGTTGCCGTGGAAGAAGCACCGGAGAGAGAGAGAGAGGAGAGAGACACTTGGGGTACACCGAGTGGGGTGGGGGGGGGGGTACAGGAAAGCACGGATCGGAGAGCGAATACAAAAACACGGGAGATGCCGCACGTCTCCCGCCAACGGAACGTGCAGCGCTGCCCGGCGGCGTCTCGGCGGTTCGAGCCGGCCGGGGCGGTTCGAGCCGGCCGGGGCGGTTCATGCCGGCCGGGCCGGTTCGAGCCGGCAGGGCCGGTTCGTGCCGGCACACCGCCACTCCGTTCGGCGGCACTCAAACGGGTTTGCCGGGCTGTGGGACCGAAGTTCAACGGCGGTTGTCCTCTGGAGAGACACTACCCACCTCTTCCTCCTCCTGCTGCCACCATCCGGCCATAGGAATGTAGAATGGCCACCAGTGGCTCTGCAAGGGGGCTCTGAACGGGAGATGAACGCCGATGCCTCGAAGCCGACCTGAGCGGGGGAATAATAACGACATTATTAATAGACGGTAGTGAATATAAGATGTGTGCCGTTAAACCCCGCCACCACCCGATGCAGCCAATTGGCAAGGTTTTGTCGCGGGAACAAAACGTGCCCAATTCGTTACCAGTACAGCACGCACCGGTGTGTTGGAGCGTAAAGCCACAACACAACACAATTGTATTATTCTTAACGATAACAATAATACTTTAATTTTAATAGCGTCATTCATGCTAATAGCATCCCACAATGCTGCGAGTTAATTATATATATCTATCTATGAGGACCAAATCTCATATACAGCCACTACCAAGCAAATAAAAACCCAACTACTACTTCTACTAGCGAGAAAAACCTGACGTGAATGAACGAATGAACGAATGAAGGACAGCGCTTCGACGTTCACTTGGGTGATGAGCGCCTGCGGGCGCTGGGGGTGCCAGGGTGTGTGGGTGGAAGGGAAAGGGGGGGGGGGGGGGCGACACCCAGAGTTGGAATGGCAGCCCCAAAGGGAGGCGGAAATGCAGATGGGAGCATCACACCGGGAGTCGTCTTAGACCGGCACGCGCTCATCAGCATCCCCCCAGCACAACGCGGGATTTAAGCGGCTTTTCCAACTTGGCAATTAACTAAGTTCCCCATGCCTCTTCGCGCCTGAATATATATATTCGTTATTATGAAGGGCTTATGAGAATGTAACAAAGCGTGGCGAGTCGCCCCGCTCGGAATGAATAAGTCGGAAACAAATTCGGAATTCGGAGGCATCAAAGACGGCGTTTCTCGAAACCCAACCCCTTTGCCATCCGCCCGTCTACATGAATCCGATCGATGGGCGAGTTGCGTGGTACGGAGGGTTCAGAGCGTGCGGATGCTCCCGCGGTATTGCCGGAAAACCGCGCTGCCATCGACGGAAAGAGTCGGCCGGCTTGGCCCCTCTTAGAGAGGTGGGGGGGGGGGGAGGGGGCCCGGCCCTCCCTCTCCGGAGCTGCGTTGAGCCCAGTGCCGTTGGCGCAAACAAAGTAACAAGAGGAGGCCTCGTTCGCTTTTCGAACTCGGCGATGATGACGGGGGGGGGGGGGGTGGAAATAACAATATTTTTAAAGCCACTTCAATGCGCGCGCACATGAAAAATTCGAGGCACGGTGGCGGGGTCCGTAATGAACGACGTCGCGAAGCGGTCCTCGAAGAGCCCCCGCATGCCGGCTCCATGAGCCGCAGTTTGCCCCGACTCCCTCCCCTCCCCGCCCCCCCCGATCTCAGTCACCACCGCCGGAGGAGGAGGAGGCCCTTGCCTCCGGCAGTGGCACGAGCAGGAAACTGCTGGGCTGCGCCTTTAGCCTCGCCGGGGCAGCGAACGTAAACCGGCGTTCCGTGCGCGCGCCCTCCTTTCTTGTGTTCGCAGGGCATGCCGGGACCTCAGGGGCCCATCGGACAACCGGGAGAGAGGGTACGTCACCCGCTCCTCTAGAGCGGTGGTCGGGGTTGGCGGGGCGCGGGCGGGAGCGGAGCCGGGGCTGGCTTCCTCCCCCGGTGGCGCCGGCTCGGTGTACACCGAGATCTCGGAACTCCGCCCCGTCACCCGAACTCGCACCGCGGCTTTAATCGCGTTGGAGGGAGGGGAGAGGGAGGGGGGGGGCGGTGGGTGGGTGGCTGGTTCGCGTAAAGAACGAAGCCATAAGCTGAAACAGACAAACCCACACGCGGGAGGCTTTGGCGATCAATATTATTCGCGATGAAGGTTTTTGGGTGAGATCACGTGAGTATAAATATGTCGTAACCCTCCACCACCTGACACGGGCAGTGAGATTCGTCACGTAATTGGACGCGTCGCTTACGCGACAAACCTTACTGGCTGTGTCGGGTGGTGGAGGGTTACGACACAACATTTATATTCACCCGATCTCACCAAAAAAACCTTTAGCATGAAATAAAACCACGCTAAATTTCGATTTAAAGCTTTCGTGACTGCAAGGAATCATCTTCTTGGTTCTTTCGGTAAAGTCACGTAGAATGAGAATAAAACAATGAAACAAAATAATATTTTGTTAGATCTGCAAAACTCAAATCGGTTTTAATAGCGCGGTGGCTGGAAACCTGAACGTGAACCCAGGATAATCAGTGCCCCCGGCTCAATGCTCTGACCTCCGAGTGACCTCCAAAGGGTGATTACATTTTCTTTTTCATCGCGAGCTAAGCCAATCTAAACAATTTGCCCCTTTTTTAATGCTTTCGCTACTGTGCTATTGGCATGGCGTCACCACGCAACGGATCCATTCAGAACCTTTGCAGAGAGCACTGCAGCCCGCGGAAGCGGATATCACAGAGCTGCCTCTGAGAACCCTTTATTCGAGTGACCTCCGTGTTCACAGGGTATGGGGCAACGCTCTTCCGCACCCGCTTGTCGCGTGTGACGGTCACACCGACATTTTGGCTCTCAGAGCTTGAATTCGGACAAATTAATTTGAAGAACCAAATTTTACATGACCAGAGTCTTTTTTTTGTGGGTGCGTTCAGTCACTGGTGGTGACAGGGCTGAAACCATCAACTCGTAACACTTGAGAATCTGGTTTAACCACAGCTCAGTCGGTGTGGGTCTATGGGTATATAGGTCCCTACCTAAGTCTATGGGCCTGTATGTGAGGCTATGGGTTTATATAGGAGTTTATAGGTCCCTGTGTAAGTCTATGGGCCTGTATGTGAGTCTATGGGTGCCTTTGTAAGTCTATGGGTCTCTAAGTCACCGGTGACCGGGCTGAGACCATCAACTCACTACACTTGAGAACTCGGTTTTAACCATGGGTATCTCCCTCCCTTCGAACCCAGGATCTCAGCGGTGCCGGCTAAGCATTGGCTAAGTGTCATTCTGGGCCGAACACTTTGAACGTAACATCTTTGTCTCTTCTCCTCCCACCAACCCCTCCCTCTCCACTCAGGGTCCTGTTGGGAAACCAGGGCTGCCCGGGTTCTCGGGATCTGACGGGCCTCCCGTGAGTGGATTTCTACACCGCCCACCAGCATCAGCGTTGTCAAAAACCGCGGGCCATTGCCCACTTTCGATCGTTCACCTGTAGAAGTTCACGTATTCGCCAGATGTGTGTGTGTGTGAGAGTCTATTGGTCTCTCTACGTGAAACAGTGAGTTCCTATGCGAGTTTAAGGGGTCTCTGTGTGAGTGCGTGAGTCTCAATGTGAATCCGTCTGTGTGAGTGTGTGGGTCTCTCTACATTAAACAGTGAGTTCCTATGCGAGTCTAAGGGGTCTCTGTGTGAGTGTGTGGGTCTCTCTACATTAAACAGTGAGTTCCTATGCGAGTCTAAGGGGTCTCTGTGTGAGTCTGTGGGTCTCAATGTGAATCCGTGAGTGAGAGTCTGTGGGTATGTCTATGTGAAACAGTGAGTTAATACGTGAGTCTAAGGGTCTCTATGTGAGTCCGTGGGTCTCTATGTGAATCCGTGAGTTCCTATGCAAGTCTAAGGGTCTCTGTGTGAGTCTGTGGGTCTCTATGTGAATCCGTGAGTTCCTATGCGAGTCTAAGGGTCTCTGTGTGAGTCTGTAGGTCTCTATGTGAATCCGTGAGTTCCTATGCGAGTCTCAGGGGTCTCTGTGAAATGGTGAGATCCTATGCGAGTCTATGGGTCTCTATGTGAGTCTATGGGTCTCTATGTGAGTCTATGGGTCTCTATGTGAGTCTATGGGTCTCTATGTGAGTCTATGTGTCTCTATGTGAGTCTATGGGTCTCTATGTGAGTCTGTGGGTCTCTATGTGAATCCATGGCTTCGTATGTGAGTCTATGGGTCTCTATGTGAGTCTGAATTTCTATGCAAGTCTCTCAAAACTCACGTGACTCTTGTGTGGCCACCCCCACTCTGAACCCCTCTCCATAACCCCGCCCACTGTGAAAACAGACGCTGCCCGCTCGGTGCAGCTCACTGCTACCGCTCGCTCTTTCCTCCTCCCCTATCATCATCATTATCACTCTCTCATGATGATCATCACCCTCTCATCATCATCATCACCTTCTCATCATGATCATCATCACCGCATAATTATCACCATCATCACCCTCTCATCATCATCATCATCACCCTCTTATCATCACCATCATCACCCTCTCATCATCATTACCTTCTCATCACCATCAGCCTCTCATCAACCCTGACGTCTTGGCCCTGGTCATTCCCTCTCCCCCTCCTGCTCCCCTCCCTGCACCGATGCTCCCCCCGCTCTCTCCCCCTGCTGCTGCTCCTCCATCTCGATCCCCGCCCTCCCCCTCTTTGCCCGTCTGCGAGACTTCCGTCCTGGCCTCCGTTCCCTCTCCCACGCATCTCGCTGCCCGCTCTCCTCCCCCCCCCCCCATGCCCGCTCCTCTCCGCCCCGTCTGCTGCCCTCTTGCTCAACTCGCTCTCGACTCCCCCGCGGTGGGCGCCGTGCCACGGGCGGCACCGGTTTTTTTTTTGTCGTTGTTTAAGCGACTCGACGAAACGAGAAGCTCCGATCACAGCTGACGACCCTCGCCCGCCACGAACGCGTCACGCGGTGCGCGTCGTTGGACGGTGCTCGTCGAGCTCGTGAACCCTCGAACGAGTAACCTGGTTAGCGGCGTGTAAACAATCGGCACTGGGGAGACAAAGGTGGCCGGGGTGGGTGGTGGAGGGGGGGGGGGAGTGCGTGGTGATGGCAAACACCCGTCGCTGTGCTCGCCGCGAGCGGCGTTCACGGGCGCCGCTCGCGGGCGGCGCTCGCCCCGACGGTCTGTCGAAGGCTCTGTGGGTGACCTTTGTGTTCGTGCGTGTGTGCGTGTGTGTGTGCGTGTGTGTATGTGTGTGCGTGCGTGTGTCTGTGCGTGCGTGTGTGCGTGTCTGTGTGTGTGTGTGTGCGTGCGTGCATGCGTGCGTGCGTGCCAGGGCCACCCTGGGAAAGAAGGACTGCCGGGCGAGAAGGGACAGCTGGTAAGGAGGGGACGGCGTGCACATCTCCCATTTGCAGCCCTGATCCCAGTGGCGGAAATTCCACGTTGCTATGGCGGGGGGGGGGGTCAGGGCTATCCGCACGACAAGTGCCTGCTCGCTTGTACGCGACTCATCGAGACGGCTCCCTCTCGCGTCGTCGCCGCTGCCGATCGGCCGTTCCTTGCCCCCGTCCCCGGGGAACACGAGTCGTCCGTCCGTTCGTGCGTGCGGTCACGCACACGTTGGCTTGCTTCTTACCACGGATGAAACTTTTATTGTTTCCTAACCCGCAGCTCTCTGCCACCTCCACCACCAACCCCCCCCCCCCCCCACCTCGGCCACAGTCCTCCTTGGCTCTGTTACAAATCACCGCTATTCATATGCAAACGAAGTCACTTTAAGGGGAGTTAATTGGGGAACACCGCCGGCATACTTATTTCGCTTTGACCGCAACGGTTGCAACCGAAAGCACAACAACAAAAATAGGATGATCGTTGACGGCCCCCCCCCCCCCCCCCCCCCGCTGCGGTGACGCGTTCGGCCGCTCTTGTCTCGGAGGTTTTTTTGGCGGTTCTAATCCGACGGCCGCCCTGGTCAATGTGCTCATAACCGTAGCAGTAGTAGTCGTCGTAATAATCATAATAATGCTACTTCGATGTGGGTTCGTCACTCAAGAGCGGACGCAAAATAATGCACACCGTGTCAACTCATGGTTTACCCCGTATTTTTGTACAGGGACAATGAGTTTTCAGGTCCATACGGCGAACAGTCTTTTCAACACAGGCACACAAAATGTGATCATGGGACTCCGTAGGATGGATGTTGAGATTTATAAGGGGCACGGGGTGACCAATAAGGTCTGAATTGGTCTGTAATAAGGTCGGGCATTGATAAGGGATCGATGGCTACGAATAAGGTAGGGCATTGATAAGGGATTGATGGCTATAAATAAGGTAAGGCATTGATAAGGGATCGATGGCTATGAATAAGGTAAGGCATTGATAAGGGATCGACGGCTATAAATAAGGTAGGGCATTGATAAGAGATCGATGGCTATAAATAAGGTAGGGCATTGATAAGGGATCGACGGGTATACATAAGGTAGGGCATTGATAAGGGATCGATGGCTATTATTAAAGGTAGGGTATTGATAAGGGATCGATGGCTATGAATAAGGTAGGGCATTAATAAGGGATCGACGGCTATGAATAAAGGTAGGGTATTGATAAGGGATCGATGGCTGTGCATAAGGTAGGGTATTGATAAGGGATCGATGGCTATGAATAAGGTAGGGTATTGATAAGGCATCGACAGATATGGGAATGTCGTGACGTCTTTTTCAAGGGGGGGGGGGGGGGGTGGTCCCTGCATCAGAGACCACGCTTTTCCAATTTCGCATATTTCTACAAACTAAGCTATAAACATCGTTGTGTTTACTTTACCAGGTGTAAGGGCCCACTTCAGCTGCGTCGCTCTTTTTTCCAGAAGCGACCTGGCCATCACGAACAATGGCGCCTCATCATCATCATCATCGTTGTGTGGAAATTTTCTAGCGGCAGCCAAATCCTCCAAACCAGTGGGTCTCGACCTTCACTGCAGGCTTCCACCCCCCTTGGTTCTCAATCGGTGAAACATTTGCAATGTTAACAAGTACATAGGGTTTGATGAAATAAAGTAAGTTGTGCGTTACGTGCCCCCGCGCTTAATTTGTGTCTTCAATGATTTACAGTACCTTCCAAAAACATTCTGGCCATGTCTCGCCACCCCAAGAAAGGGCATCTCGCAACCCCCAGTGGGTGCAGCGTGCACCTCCAGCTTAAGAAGAACCGCTGCTCAAAACGCACATCGATTCTAAAAGCGGAGGGAAAAAAACGCTACCACGGGGGTCGGGGTCGAACTCACGACCTCCTGCGTACCAGGCGTTGGAGTTAACATCTCCTAGCCACCGCAGCGAGATGTTAGAACCGCGCCGCAGATCGCGAGACCATGGGGATTCCGTGCCCTGGCAGACGAATGCGTTCAAGTTCTAATCCCGGTCCCTCCGACTCTCCCGCCCCGGTTAGACAAAAATAACGTTTCGAAACTTGGAACTCGAGAAACTCCGTACGATTGTGTCAACTTCGCTAGAGCGAGAGGGAGGGCTCCCTCACTGGACTGGCCTGCCTGTCTCACTCATGCTGCTCGGTGTGCCGTGTGCCTCTCTGTCGACAGGGCCCTTTGGGTCCCCAGGGCCCCGTGGGTTACCCGGGTCCACGCGGCGTGAAGGTACGTTAGTTTAAACGCGTGTGCGCGAACACGCAAACACGGACGCCGCCGGCCGAGGCGGTGGCGAGTGATCTCGTGATCCGGAGGTCGCCGGTTCGATCGCATTGCCTCGGCGCCATTGCAGCCGAAACGATGGAGCATGTGTTTTATATTTCATAATCAGAAATATTTACGTGTGTGTGTGTGTGTTGAACTTGGTTGGCACCGCAGATGGTAAATGTTGTGGATTTGCTCTCCAACATACCGCTGTGTGGCAGAGCAAATCCATTGACGGTAAATGTTGTGGATTTTCCCTCCAACACACGTTTTGTTTACGTGACAAACACTACTAATTGGCTGCGTCGGGTGGGGGCAGGTTTAATGACACATTTACATATTTACGAGGTCTAACCCCAAAACAAAACCTCTATCGCGGATGATATTGGTCGTGAAAGCCCGCCACGTGTAAAATCTAAATAAAAACAAATCAGTCCTCTATGCCTTCCTCCCAAACCTGTCCCTTCACGTTAAAAGTAAAACCAAAACCAATCAACAAATGTTTTTTTTTGCGAACACCCCATCGGCCACACGACCCCGCCTGTGCTTGGGCGTGCATCGCTTCGGCAGCATTGGTTCCATACGCGAGCACAACTCTGGAGCGGTTTCGCCAAACGGAGTCTCCCGTCGGCAGAGGCTCGCGTCCGCTCGAAGCAATCCTGGCGAGCTGCCCAAGATGTTCAATGGCGAAGGAACCCCGGTCTCAGGCCTCAAATGAGTGCCCGGCGCGGTGTGTCATGCGTCGGCACTGGGGGGAGACAAAGGCGGCCGGGGCTCAGTTGCTTGCCGCAGCGCCCCCTTGCGTTGCCGCTCGCTGACACGCACTTGCCCCAGCGGCCTGTTAGAGGCTACACGGGGCACATTTGTCTCTGTACGTTGCAGCATTAATAGGTGCTGGGACTCGCGGGCAGCACTTGCCCCAGCAGCCTGTTAGAGGCTATATAAGGCACTTTTGTCTTTGTACGTGCTAACATTGATAGGTTCTGCGACTCGCTAACAGCACTTGCCCCAATTGCCTGCCAGAGGCTACGCGCGGGAGAGAGGTGGGGGGGGGGGGGGTGGCGAATCTTCATCTCCCTCTCTCTCTGTGTGTGTGTGGTGTGTTTTGTATTTTCCTTTTGATGTTGTTCTCCGCTCTCCCGTAGGGGGCGGAAGGAGCACGGGGGATGAAGGGCGACAAGGGAGACAAGGTACCCCCCCCCTTCCCCCCCACCCCCCCGGTGTATCAGTCTGTGGGTCTTCCTCCTCGTCTGTGGGTGTCTGCGTATGTCTGTCCTACGAGATGTCCCTGAGACTTGCGTAGACACCGCCCGTAGTCTCGTGAAGGCTGAGTTGTCATGAAGCCGGGGTCTGTCAGTGTGAGTCTATTGGTCCCTGTCTGAGTCTATGGGTCTCTATGCAAGTCTATGGGTCTCTATGTGAGTCTATGGGTCTCAATGCGAGTCTATGGGTCTCTATTGCGCGTCTATGGATCTCTATGGAAGTCTATGGGTCTCTATGTGAGTCTATAGATCTCTATGTGAGTCTATGGGTCTCTATGTGAGTCTATGGGTCTCTATGTGAGTTTATGGGTCTCTATGCGAGTCTATGCGTCTCTAAGTGAGTCTATGTGCCTCTATGTGAGTCTATGGGTCTCTATGTGAGTCTATGGGTCTCTATGTGAGTCTGTGGGTCTCTATTGCGAGTCTACGGGTCTCTATGTGAGTCTATGGGTCTCTATGCGAGTCTATAGAGCTCTATGCGAGTCTACAGGTCTCTATGTGAGTCTCTGGGTTTCTATGTGAGTCTATGGGTCTCTATGTGAGTCTATGGGTCTCTATTGCGAGTCTATGGGTCTCTATGCGAGTCTACGGATCTCTATGCGAGTCTACAAGTCTCTATGCGAGTCTATCGCTCACTATGTGAGTTTATGGGTCTCTATGTGAGTCTATGGGGCTCTATGTGAGTCTACGGGTCTCTATGTGTCTATGGGACTCTATGTGAGTCTATGGGTCCCTATGAGAGTCTATGGGTCTTTATGTGAGTCTATGGGTCTCTATGTGAGTCTATGGGTCTCTATGTGAGTCTATGGGACTCTATGTGAGTCTATGGGTCTCTATGCGAGTCTATGGGACTATATGCGAGTCTATGGGTCTCTATGTGAGTCTATGGGTCTCTATGCGAGTCTATGGGTTTCTATTGCGAGTCTATGGGTCTCTATGTGAGTATATGGGTCTCTATGTGAGTCTATGGGTCTCTATGCGAGTCTATGGGACTCTATGTGAGTCTATGTGTCTCTATGTGAGTCTATGGGTCTCTATGCGAGTCTACGGATCTCTATGCGAGTCTACAAGTCTCTATGCGAGTCTATGGGTGTCTATGTGAGTCTATGGATTTCTATGCAAGTCTATGGGTCTTTATGTGAGTCTATGGGTCTCTATGTGAGTCGATGGGTTTCTATGTGAGTCTATGGGTCTCTATACGAGTCTATGGGTCTCTATGCGAGTCTATGGGTCTCTATGTAAGTCTATGGGTCTCTATGTGAGTCTATGGGTCTGTATGTGAGTATATGGGTCTCTATGCGAGTCTATGGGACTCTATGTGAGTCTATGGGCTCTATGTGAGTCTATGGGTCTCTATGCGAGTCTATGGGTCTCTATGCGAGTCTATGGGACTCTCTGCGAGTCAATGGATCTCTATTGCGAGTCTATGGGGCTCTATGTGAGTCCATGGATCTCTATGCGAGTCTATGGATCTTTTTTGAGAGTCTATGGATCTCTATTGTGAGTCTATCCATCTTTATTGCGAGTCTATGGGTCTCTATGTGGGTCTATGGGTCTGTATGTGAGTATATGGGTCTCTATGCGAGTCTATGGGACTCTATGTGAGTCTATGGGCTCTGTGAGTCTATGGGTCTCTATGCGAGTCTATGGGTCTCTATGTGAGTCTATGGATCTCTATGTGAGTCTATGGGTCTCTATGTGAGTCTATGGGACTCTTTGTGAGTCTATGGGTCTCTATGCGAGTCTATGGGACTCTATGCGAGTATATGGATCTCTATGTGAGTCTATGGGTCTCTATGCGAGTCTATGGGTTTCTATGTAAGTCTATGGGTCTTTATGTAAGTCTATGGGTCTCTATGTGAGTCTATGGATCTCTATGTGAGTCTATGGGTCTCTATGCGAGTCTATGGGTCTCTATGCGGGTCTGTGGGTCTCTATGTAAGTCTATGGGTCTCTATGTGAGTCTATGGGTCTGTATGTGAGTCTATGGGCTCTATGTGAGTCTATGGGTCTCTATGCGAGTCTATGGGTCTCTATGCGAGTCTATGGGACTCTATGTGAGTCTATGGGACTCTAAGTGAGTCTTTGGGTCTCTATGTGAGTCTATTTGTCTCTATGCAAGTCTATGGATCTCTATTGCGAGTCAATGGGTCTCTATGCGAGTCTATGGGGCTCTCTGCGAGTCAATGGATCTCTATTGCCAGTCTATGGGTCTCTATGTGAGTCTATGGGTCTCTATGCGAGTCTATGGGTTTCTATGTAAGTCTATGGGTCTTTATGTAAGTCTATGGGTCTCTATGTGAGTCTATGGATCTCTATGTGAGTCTATGGGTCTCTATGCGAGTCTATGGGTCTCTATGCGGGTCTGTGGGTCTCTATGTAAGTCTATGGGTCTCTATGTGAGTCTATGGGTCTGTATGTGAGTCTATGGGCTCTATGTGAGTCTATGGGTCTCTATGCGAGTCTATGGGTCTCTATGCGAGTCTATGGGACTCTATGTGAGTCTATGGGACTCTAAGTGAGTCTTTGGGTCTCTATGTGAGTCTATTTGTCTCTATGCAAGTCTATGGATCTCTATTGCGAGTCAATGGGTCTCTATGCGAGTCTATGGGGCTCTCTGCGAGTCAATGGATCTCTATTGCCAGTCTATGGGGCTCTATGTGAGTCCATGGGTCTCTATGCGAGTCTATGGATCTTTTTTGCGAGTCTATGGATCTCTATTGTGAGTCTATCAATCTTTATTGCGAGTCTATGTGTCTCTATGTGGGTCTCTGGGTCTCTATGCGAGTCTATGGATCGCTATTGCGAGTCTATGGATCTCTATTGTGAGTCTATGGATCTCTATGTGAGTCTGGGTCTCTATGCAAATCTATGGATCTATATTGTGAGTCTATGGATCTCTATGTGAGTCTGGGTCTCTATGCGAGTCTATGGATCTCTATTGTGAGTCTATGGATCTCTATGTGAGTCTGGGTCTCTGTGCGACTCTATGGATCTCTATGGGTATCTATGTGAGTCTATGGGTCTCTGTGTGAGTCTATGGGTCTCTATGCGAGTCTGTGGATCTCTTTTGCGAGTCTATGGATCTCTATTATGAGTCTGTGAATCTCTATTTGAGTCTATGGATCTCTATTGTGAGTCTATGGATCTCTATGTGAGTCTGGGTCTCTATGCGAGTCTGTGGATCGCTATGCGACTCTATGGATCTCTATGGGTCTCGATGTGAGTCTATGGGTCTCTGTGTGAGTCTACGGGTCTCCGTGTGAGTCACTGGTGACCCGGCTGAGACCATCAACTCACCGCACTACAGGAACCCGGTTTCACCACAGGAGGCGCGGAATCCAAACCGGGGCTCTGAGCGGTGGCCGGCTCCGTGTCTCGGATGTCCGTCATCCTGAATGTCCATGAGGCCTTTTCAGAATGGAACAAATCGTTTGGCGATGCCGCCGCTGCTGTTTGCTGCTGCGTTGGCAGTGGAGCACAAACAACAGCAGCCGCAGCGACAACAAGGCGACACGCCCGTAAACAGGCACGGTGTGGCTCTAAAAATACACGTGTTTAATGGGTGATGTTGCCGCTATTCTCGAAAGCGCAATGCGTAAACAAATAGAAAATTCGAGATGTACTTTTTTATTTTTTTTATCAGTTTTGTCCAATTATTGACGGACGTGTTGAGCCGCCGCCACCGCCGCCGCCGCTGCTGCTGCTGTTGTTGTTGTTTTGAAACGGACGCCCTTCGTCAATCCACACCCCCGTCGCGTCGCGTCGCGCGTGCGGCTGAATCCTCGTGGGGACGTGCGTGGTCGGGGATGAATCCCCGGTGCCTCCGACGCCGCGGGAGAGGCCGTCGGATGCCGTCGGAGGCCGTGGCGGGGGGCCTTGGTGGGCGACAACACCCCCCCCCCCCACACACACACACACACTTGCTGAGCCAGGAGAAGCTTTTGTTTTCATCCCAAATCCTCCCTCGTTCGTGCCGTACGTCGCAAACGTGCTGACATTTCGGACGGCGTGACCGCTACCTGTTGCAGCGACGGTGTGGGGCACACGGCAGTCATCAAAGCAGTGGGGGGGAGGGGGGGTATTTGGTATCTGGGGGGGGGGGGGGCACAGGAACAGCTTTCACGAAGGGGAGATGCTTTGGGGTCATCGTATTACTGTTTTTGTAGGTGTGTGTGTGTGTAGGTGTAGTGTGTAGGTGTGTGGGTGTAGTGTGTAGGTGTAGCGTAGGTGTAGTGTGTAGGTGTGTAGTGTGTAGGTGTAGTGTGTAGGTGTGTGTGTAGGTGTAGTGTGTAGGTGTGTGTGTGTTGGTGTGTGTATGTGTAGTGTGTAGGTGTAGTGTGTAGGTGTGTGTGTAGGTGTAGTGTGTAGGTGTGTGTGTAGGTGTAGTGTGTAGGTGTAGTGTGTAGGTGTGTGTGTAGGTGTAGTGTGTAGTGTGTAGGTGTGTGTTTGTAGGTGTAGTGGGTAGGTGTGTGTGTGGGTGTAGTGTGTATGTGTAGTGTGTAGGTGTAGTGTGTAGGTGTGTAGTATGTAGGTGTAGTGTGTAGGTGTGTGTAGTGTATCGGTGTGTGTAGGTGTGTGTGTGTAGGTGTAGGGTGTAGGTGTGTGTGTAGTGTATCGGTGTATGTAGGTGTAGTGTAGGTGTAAGGGGTAGTGTGTAGGTGTAGTGCATGTGTGTGTAGGTGTAGTGTGTAGGTGTGTGTGTAGGTGTAGTGTGTAGGTATGTGTGTAGGTGTGTGTGTAGTGTATCGTGTGTGTAGGTGTAGTGTGTAGGTGTAAGGTGTAGTGTGTAGGTGTAGCGTGTAGGTGTGTGTGTAGGTGTAGTGTGTAGTGTGTAGGTGTATAGTGTGTAGGTGTAGTGTATGTGTGTGTGTAGGTGTAGTGTGTAAGTGTGTGTGTGTAGGTGTAGGGTGTAGGTGTGTGTGTAGTGTATCGGTGTATGTAGGTGTAGTGTAGGTGTAAGGTGTAGTGTGTAGGTGTAGTGTATGTGTGTAGGTGTAGTGTGTAGGTGTGTGTGTGTAGGTGTAGGGTGTAGGTGTGTGTGTAGTGTATCGGTGTATGTAGATGTAGTGTAGGTGTAAGGTGTAGTGTGTAGGTTTAGTGTAGGTGGAAGGTGTAGTGCGTAGGTGTAGTGTGTGGGTGTAGTGTGTGGGTGTAGTGTGTATGTGTAAGGTGTAGTGTGTAGGTGTAGTGTGTAGGTGTGTGTGTAGTGTGTAGGTGTAGTGTAGGTGTAGTGTAGGTGAAGTGTGTAGGTGTGTGTAGCTGTAGTGTGTAGGTGTAAGGTGTAGTGTGTAGGTGTAGTGTGTAGGTGTAGTGTGTGGGTGTAGTGTGTGGGTGTAGTGTGTAGGTGTAAGGTGTAGTCTGTAGGTGTGTGTGTAGGTGTAGTGTGTAGGTGTAGTGTGTAGGTGTGTGTGTAGGTGTAGTGTGTAGTGTGTAGGTGTAGTGTGTAGGTGTGTGTGCAGGTGTGTGTGTAGTGTATTGGTGTGTGTAGGTGTAAGGTGTAGTGTGTAGGTGTGTGCGTAGGTGTGTGTGTAGGTGTAGTGTGTAGGTGTAGTGTGTAGGTGTGTGTAGTGTGTAGGTGTGTGTGTAGGTGTAGTGTGAAGGTGTGTGTGTGTGTGTGTAGCTGTAGTGTGTAGGTGTGTGTGTAGGTGTAAGGTGTAGTGTGTAGGTGTAGTGTGTGGGTGTAGTGTGTGTGTGTAGTGTGTAGGTGTAAGGTGTAGTGTGTAGGTGTAGTGTGTAGGTGTAGTGTGTAGTGTGTAGGTGTGTGTGTAGGTGTAGTGTGTAGGTGTGTGTGTAGGTGTGTGTGAAGGTGTAGTGCGTAGGTGTAGTGTGTAGGTGTAGTGTGTAGGTGTGTGTGTAGGTGTAGTGTGTAGGTGTAGTGTAGGTGTAAGGCGTAGTGTGTAGGTGTAGTGTGTAGGTGCGAAGTGTGTAGGTGTAGTGTAGGTGTAAGGTGTAGTGTGTAGTGTGTGTAGGTGTGTGTCTAGGTGAGTGTAGGTGTAGGAGGAGTTGGAGACGCTGCTGCTGAGACTGGAGCGTGCCACTAAGAGGTAGGGCCTTACCATCAGCCCCACCAAAACTAAGCACCTGCCTGGGTATTTTGTACCATCGGACACTCCACCCCCACAACTCCCAATCGGTGATGGGGCAGTTGTGGAGAGAGTGAAGAGTTTCCCATACCTGGGCAGTGTGCTTATGACTGGCTCCAGTTTAACATCAGAGGTCTCACTCCGAATTACTCGAGCGGCAATATCTTTTCATTGTTTACGTAACGCTGTGTGGAAGCTACCTGGTCTGTCGCTCCGCACTAAGCTTCAGGTCTTCTCGGCCACGGTCATTCCCTCCCTTCTCTACGCTTGCGAAACGTGGACCCCCCTAATGGAACATCTTCGCCGGTTAGAAACATTTAGGCTGGCCTGCCTACGATCCATCCTGGGTTTAACCAGGCTGGATTGTGTGAGGAGCTCACATATCCTTGAAAGATCTGGGCACGGTCCCATCGGTGAGCTCCTCCGGCAGGCAAGGCTGCGTTGGCTGGGTCATGTAGCCCGCATGCCCAGCCACCGCATGCCGAAACAGCTTTTGTTCGGCTGGATCGAGGGGACTAAGCGGGCGCGGCACGGGTTAGAGAAGAGATGGAGTGACGTGGTACAGGAGGACGTGGAGCTGAGTGGACTTGCCGATGACTGCTACCAGCGGTGTCAAGATCGGCCTCTGTGGAGGAGGCTCGTGAAGGACGCTACTGGGCAGTTGGAGGTAGTCGCCCTCCAACAACAACGGAGGGCGGAGGAGCGACGCTCAGAACAACGAGCGGAGCGCCGGGTGGCTAAAGCACAGCTGGTTGGCACAGTAGGAGGCACAGGTGGTGCATCAGCTAGTCATCTCAGTCAGTCGACCCGTGGCACCTGGGTCTGCCCCTTGACCTCCTGCCAGCGGGCGTTCGACACTTCACGTGGCCTCAGGGTGCACATAGCCTGGCACAAGCGTCGTGGTGACGTCACCGCCACTTAGTGGCGAATGGCGGTTGTTGTTGTAGGTGTAGTGTGTAGGTGTGTGTGTAGGTGTAGTGTAGGTGTGGTGTGTAGGTGCGTAGTGTGTAGGTGTAGTGTAGGTGTAAGGTGTAGTGTGTAGGTGTAGTGTAGGTGTGTGTGTAGGTGTGTGTGTAGGTGTAGTGTGTAGGTGTGTGTGTAGGTGTAGTGTGTAGGTGTGTGTGTAGTGTATCGGTGTGTGTAGGTGTAGTGTAGGTGTAAGGTGTAGTGTGTAGGTGTAGTGTGTAGGTGTAGTGTGTAGGTGTGTGTGTGTAGGTGTGTGTGTAGTGTGTAGGTGTGTATGTGTAGGTGTAGTGTGTGTGTGTAGGTGTGTGTGTAGTGTGTAGGTGTGTAGTGTGTAGGTGTAGTGTGTGTGTAGGTGTAGTGTGTAGGTGCTCGCGGAACCCGGCCCGCCGAGTTCGATTCTCGCTCACGGCCAACACCAGTGACGATCATCAGAACCGGTCCTGGGCCTCCCCTAGGTCAACTCGGCCTCAAATGAGTACCTGGTGCGGTGTGTAAACATCGCCACTGGGGAGACAAAGGCGGCCGGGCCTAGGTGATGCTCGCTAACAGCACTTGCCCCAGCAGTCTGTCAAGGCTACACGGGGGGAACATTTGTGTGGGTTGTGTGTCTGAGTGTGCACGACTCCCACCCTGCATTTCACTCCGCTGTAATTCATATTTCAAGTCTCGTGCCCGTTGCGTTATTCTCTTTTAGACTGTCACGGCTGCGAGATAAATTATTTATAACCCTTAAAATAAAAAAAATAAAAACTTCACAGCTTGGATGTTTTTCACCCCGTTTCCAAAGGGAGAAGATGGTTTCCCCGGATTTAAAGGCGACATGGGTCTTAAAGGCGACAAGGTGAGATGCCACATTTAACATTCACCCGCGCGTCAGCCTGCCTCCTTATTTATTTACTTCACGTGTCCTCCATTATTTATTTCGTGGTGTGTGGCGTGTGTGTGTGACGTGTGTGTGACGTGTGTGTGGCGCGTGTGTGTGTGACGTGTGTGTGTGTGACGTGTATGTGTGGCGTGCGTGTGTAGTGGCGTGTGTGTGTGACGTGTGTGTGTTGTGTGTGTGTGTGGCGTGTGTGTGTGGCGCGTGTGTGTGTGTGTGTGACGTGTGTGTGTGACGTGTGTGTGGTGTGTGTGGCGTGTGTGTGTAGTGTGTGTGTTTAGTGTGTGTGTGTAGCGTGTGTGTGTGGCGTGTGTGTGTGTGTGACGTGTGTGTGGCATGTGTGTGTGGCGTGTGTGTGTGTCGTGTGTGTGTAGTGTGTGTGTGGCGTGTGTGTGTGTAGCGTGTGTGTGGCATGTGTGTGTGTGTGGCGTGTGTGTGTGTGGCGTGTGTGTGTGTGGCGTGTGTGTGTGGCGCGTGTGTGTGTGTGTGGCGCGTCAGTGTGTGTGGCATGTTTCTGTGTGGCGCGTGTGTGTGGCGTGTGTATTGGTTTTTTTTTAAGGCCGTAGGTCTCAGTAGTGACAGCGAGAGAGAGAAATATGCAGAGGAGAGAGACAGATGACAATACAATGATAAGTCCTCGCCTCCATGGCTTCCCACCGTGCGTTGTGTTTGAGAAACGACTGGCACAGTGACAGATGGGCGTAACGGATCAGTATGGTTATCAACCTATTAGTCTATAGATACATATATCGATGGACAGATACACAGGGCCGGCCACGATTGCGGTAGCAGTGTTTTTGATAGCAGCGCGTGCCTCGCAAGCAGAAATCACGGCAATTCTAGATTTAAAGCTTTCGTGACTGCTAGGATCCATACTCATTGGTTCTATTGGTAAAAAAAATAACAACATGACTTTACCCAATAGAACCAAAGAGTATAGAAATTACGGCACCCATCCACGCCGGGCTTTCAGGTTATCTAGTCAGACCCCAGGCACTTGTGCTCTGTGGGCCCTCGGTGGTAACTTTCCAACAGTCGTCACTGTTTGCTGCTCACCAACGTCGCTACTGCTCCCGCCGCTGTCACTCCGATGTGTCCGTCGTTTTAGTCCGCGCCCTCGTTCGACGGGGAGCGAGCCGAGTGCCGCAGATGCTGCGACTCTCCTTTTACTCAAGGAGATATCTTGGGTGGGAAAACAAAAAAAATGTCGTTCCAACAACACGAAAAACAACGCGGTCGCATTTTTTTTTCGTCGGCCCTTTAGTTTCCGGAGGCCCTAGGCACAGTGCGAACTCTGGCCTATTGGATAAGACGGGCCGTGGTGAGTGGGTGAGTGGGTGGGTGAGTGGGTGAATAGGTGAGTGAGTGGCTGGGTGAGTGAGTGGGTAAGTGAGTGGGTGGCTGGGTGAGTGGGTGGGTAAGTGAGTGGGTGGCTGGGTGAGTGAGTGGGTAAGTGAGTGGGTGGCTGGGTGAGTGGGTGGGTAAGTGAGTGGGTGGCTGGGTGAGTGAGTGGGTAAGTGAGTGGGTAAGTGAATGGGTGGCTGGGTGAGTGAGTGGGTAAGTGAACGGGTGGCTGGGTGAGTGGGTGGGTAAGTGAATTGGTGCCTGGATGAGTGGGTGGCTGGGTGACTGGGTGGGTAAGTGAATGGGTGGCTGGGTGAGTGGGTAAGTGAATGGGTGGTTGGGTGAGTGGGTGGGTACGTGAATGGGTGGCTGGGTGAGTGAGTAAGTGCATGGGTGGTTGGGTGAGTGGGTGGGTCCGTGAATGGGTGGCTGGGTGAGTGGGAAAGTGAATGGGTGGCTGGGTGAGTGGGTGGCTGGGTAAGTGGGTAAGTGAATGGGTGGCTAGGTGAGTGGGTGGGTACGTGAATGGGTGGCTGGGTGAGTGGGTGGCTGGGTAAGTGGGTAAGTGAATGGGTGGCTGGGTGAGTGGGTGGGAAAGTGAATGGGTGGCTGGGTGAGTGGGTGGCTGGGTAAGTGGGTAAGTGAATGGGTGGCTAGGTGAGTGGGTGGGTACGTGAATGGGTGGCTGGGTGAGTGGGTGGCTGGGTAAGTGGGTAAGTGAATGGGTGGCTGGGTGAGTGGGTGGGAAAGTGAATGGGTGGCTGGGTGAGTGGGTGGCTGGGTAAGTGGGTAAGTGAATGGGTGGCTGGGTGAGTGGGTGGGAAAGTGAATGGGTGGCTGGGTGAGTGGGTGGCTGGGTAAGTGTGTAAGTGAATGAGTGGCTGGGTGAGTGGGTGTCTGAGTAGGTCCTAGGCACAGTTCCTCTTGTAGCCTATTAGATAATACTGCTATGGTGGGTGGGTGAGTGGGTGAATGAGTGAGTGGGTGAGTGGGTGGGTGAGTGAATTGGTGGCTATAGGCACAGTGTCTACTGTGGCCTATTGGATAATAAGGCCCTGGTCACAGTTCGTATCCTGACCCAGGTGCTTCACTCTGCGGAGTTCTGTCTCTTTGTCCCACCTCCCACCCGTCTTCTGCGTGGGTTTCGTCCTCCTGCCACAACATCAACACCAACATTGTGGAACTGGTATTGGCCAAAATATCACAATGCTGAAACAATAACTAGCACATTACTCAATTGGCACAGCAGCAGCAGCAGCAGCTTCATCACTTTCTGAGAAAACTAAGCCAGGACCGTTCCTGGGTAAACAATCATCATCGTAATAATAATTATGATAATCTGTTGTTTATTTACGTATTATTTACTTCCTGATGGGAAGCATTTTGAGAAAACAAGTTTCTCTGTGAATGTAACTCAAAATGAATCTTTGATAGCGTCGCTGCGGACAATATAAATAACTATTTGTAAAAGAAAATAAATATAAGCCGGCGATTTCTTTCCTTAGGATCTGTAATGCACGTTTTTTTGGGTTAGATCGCGCAAATATCCGCCGGCGCCCGACGCAGCCAATCGGTGTGTGAGGTTCGTGCCACGTAAACTAAAACGTTGCCAGTTCGTGACGAGTTCAGCGCAACACCGTTTGTGTGTTGGAGGGTAAAACCCACTGCAACGCTCACAATTCGAGCCCCACGGCCTTCTGGGGAGTGATTACATTCAGCAGCCGCCGGCTCAGCGCGAGCATCCTCTGAAACGGTTTCGACACGGAGTGTCTCATCAGTGGACCCGGGCTTACTTTGAATCGGTGCTGGTCAAAATAAAAAAAAAATTGGAATAATCTGCCCCGGTGTTCGGAATCAGAATGTGTTCTTCATGCTGGAGGAATCCAATGAGCTCCAAAGCTCGTTTTGGTCTCGGATGTCAGAAACTTAGAACAGCAATCAATGCAAGAGGGCCATGGGAGTGCAGAGGGTAGGTCAGGACCCTCTGTGTTCGATCGGCATCTTAGTTTGACGCAAAACGATACAATATCGAAAATGACCATTTTTTTATAATTTTAGATAACAACATTATTTTTCATGAGCTGGGTTCGATTCCCTATCAGGGCCAACATCAGTGGCGAGCGAAATCTGAGTCGATCCGACCACCCCCCCCCTCCCCCCCTCTTCCTTGCCCCTTCACTAAACCCAAGCTGACCAGGATGGTGAAGTATGGACTTCATCCACCAGTGGATTGACAGAAGGCTGCCATTCACGGATAATCATCTCGAATGATCATGACGACGATGACGACGATGATTATGAACCAACCGAACCTGTGGTGATGGGCCACGATGAGCACAGTGTTGATAAACAATTCACGAATTCGGCTCGTGATGAGGATGACGATTGCGAATAATGCGACGATGACAATGATGACATCAATGATGACACTCGCTGATGATGAAATAGTAAGGATTATGATGACGACGATGCAGTATTATAACAAGACGATGATGACGAAAGTAAAGTCAATGATGACGGTGATGGCGACAATAGTACCGTGACGATGATGATGCTGATGATGATGATGTCGACGGTGACGGCGATGTTGGGGGTCTCCGCACTCAGGGTGAGAGTGGGCCCTTCGGACCGAGAGGAGAAGACGGGCCAGAAGGCCCCAAGGGCCGCACGGGCCCTCCCGGCGACCCAGGACCCAACGGACCCGCCGGAGAGAAGGTACGACGAGCAGGAACCCCTTCGTCCGTTCCAGTGACGCTGCGGTCCCAGCGCCGGCTCAACCTCCCCGACCCGGTGAACCCAGGTCATGGTTTGACATCGATGCCAGCAGTGTCCTAGTTTCACCAGGACCGTGGCAGTCAAATGTTTGCAATTTGAATCGTGCGGCAACATTGAGGCTCGCTTGATGGAGCGGCTTGCCAGGTTTGCTGATGTTTCACTTAACTCCCCTCCCCCTCCACCCCCCCCACTCCTGCCTGCCCATGTCTGCAGGGGAAGCTGGGAGCTCCTGGCCTGTCTGGATACCAGGGGCGGTTGGGACCCAAGGTGAGAGGTGGCAGGCGAGCCTTGGGGGTGTTGTCACCTGTCCTGGATTTATCAGGATCGTCATCATCGCGATCACCACCGCCATCATTACCATCGCCACCGCCATCATTATCATCGCCACCGCTATCATCATCGCCATCACCACCATCATCATCATCACCACCATCATCATCACCACGATCATTGTAATCACCATCATCATCATCACCACCACCATCATCATCATCATCACCACCGCTATCATCATCGCCATCACCACCACCACCACCATCATCATCACCACCACCACCACCATCATCATCATCACCACCACCACCACCATCATCACCACGATCATTGTAATCACCACCACCATCATCATCACCACCACCACCACCATCATCATCACCACCGCTATCATCATAGCCATCACCACCACCACCATCATCATCACCATCACCACCACCATCATCATCATCATCACCACCATCATCATCACCACGATCATTGTAATCACCACCACCATCATTATCACCACCACCACCATCATCATCATCACCACCGCTATCATCATCGCCATCACCACCACCACCATCATCATCACCACCACCACCACCATCATCATCATCACCACCATCATCATCACCACGATCATTGTAATCACCAACACCATCATCATCATCACCACCGCTATCATCATCGCCATCACCACCACCACCATCATCATCACCACCACCATCATCATCATCATCACCACCATCATCATCATCACCACCACTATCATTGTAATCACCACCACCATCATCACCACCACCATCATCATCATCATCACCACCGCTATCATCATCGCCATCACCACCACCACCACCATCATCATCACCACCATCATCATCATCACCATCATCATCACCACGATCATTGTAATCACCACCATCATCATCATCACCACCACAACCACCACCACCACCATCATCATCATCACCACCATCATCATCACCACGATCATTGTAATCACCAACACCATCATCACCACCACCATCATCATCATCATCACCACCATCATCATCACCACCATCATCATCACCATCATCATCACCACGATCATTGTAATCACCAACACCATCATCACCACAACCACCACCACCACTGTTTTTCCCCCACGCCCTCTTCACCGACCCGCACCAACGACCGGCAGACAAGTCTGGCGACAGCGGCCTCACCGCACCTCCGCCGCTTAGCACGGTTTGGCATGCGTACAGGTTTCCAAAGAAGTTCAACAACGTTCATACATAGAATGACGCAACGTGACGAAGGAGAAATCCTCCTCCTCCTCCTCCCGGTTATCCAGCAGTGGATTGGCAGGGTGCCTTAAACGGTTCGCTAAATTCCATTTCATGGAGAGAGAGAGAGAGAGAGGAGGGGGGGGTGGGAGATCATTCATTGTGTTTGATCAACGGTGGACATTTTTTTCCTTATTGCCACAGGGTTAAGAGACGAGAAACGCGCACGAATATATATGTAAATCTTTCGGGCGGTTATCCCGGGAAAATTGAATAAATAAATGTTTTATTTATACGGCTAAACGTGCTTAGAGGAACGTGAAATTGAAGCCATCTGTCTTGCGCGGAGCAAATCAGTCACAAATGTGCTTACGGTGCTCTAGGAGGAAGAAGTCTCATTGAGGTTTAAAATCTCTCTCTCTCTCTCGCGCCGCTCTCTCTCTCTCTCGCCGCTCTCTCATTCTTACGCTCTCTCTCTCTCTCTCGGCACGCTGGGCACTGGGGAACCGCGGAATCAAGCGAGCCTCGTCCGCTTGATTCCCTTGATTCCGGAGCGCCGTCGTTCGTTGAAAAAGGCGGCGAATGAAACGCCCGCTCGCTCGCTCGCTGAGCGACAACAACGCTCATACGTTGAGCGTTCACACGCTGAGCGAGCGGGCGGGCGGGCGGGCGAGAGAGACGACACAACAGCGGAACTGGTCGGGAAATCTGCGCGCAATTCCGTCGGGAGCCGTCGCCCGCGAGAAAGAAAAATAACCGGGTGGGGGTGGGGGGTCAGCGACGGGGCTTGTAACGAGAGCAGAGGACGCCCATCCCACCCCGAGCCGACACGGGCGAGCGCGGGAAATGAACGGCTCGGTGAGAGCACCTCTCCCGTGCTCTGAACCAGCCCTGCCCCCCGAGTCTCCTCGCCGTCGACAGTTTAAATTTGCCGCCCGCCCGCCCGCCCGCCGCTAAACAGCACTTGCCCCAGCAGTGTGTTCAAGGCTACATAGGGGACCTTTGTCTTTGCGTGCAGGCTGAGATGACTGACATCTGCCACATGGGCGTGTGGGGGTTCATCCAGCAGCGGATTGATCATGGCCGATGACGACGACGATATTGGCAAAGCGGTGCCAAGGGCACTGTCCCCTCTCGGTTGTCGTGCTATCGATGTTTATTTACACTTCTTCGTAGATTCCATTCCCCCAGCCCGTAAGTAACACAAGCTCCAATTAGTACCATGATGATCATCATCATCGTGATCGACGCATCTCCCAAAGCGAAAAGGTGCGCTGGGCCGACGGGAGCTCCAGGCGCGGGGAGCCGAAACGTCGGGACACCGTGCCGAACGACGCGTAGAGAGAGCGGAGCCACTGACAACTTGCCACTCACCCACTGTCACTCACCTACTGACACTCACCCACTGTCACTCACCCACTGTCACTCACCTACTGCCACTCACCCACTGTCACTCATCTACTGACACTCACCCACTGTCACTCACCTACTGACACTCACCCACTGACACTCACCCACTGACACTCACCTACTGTCACTCACCCACTGCCACTCACCTACTGTCACTCACTTACTGTCACTCACCCACTGCCACTCACCTACTGCCACTCACCTACTGCCACTCACCTACTGTCACTCACCTACTGTCACTCACCCACTGTCACTCACCTACTGCCACTCACCTACTGTCACTCACCTACTGTCACTCACCTACTGACACTCACCTACTGTCACTCACCCACTGACACTCACCCACTGTCACTCACCCACTGCCACTCACCTACTGCCACTCACCTACTGCCACTCACCTACTGTCACTCACCTACTGTCACTCACCCACTGTCACTCACCTACTGCCACTCACCTACTGTCACTCACCTACTGTCACTCACCTACTGACACTCACCTACTGCCACTCACCTACTGACACTCACCCACTGCCACTCACCTACTGTCACTCACCTACTGACACTCACCTACTGTCACTCACCTACTGTCACTCACCTACTGACACTCACCTACTGCCACTCACCTACTGACACTCACCCACTGCCACTCACCTACTGCCACTCACCTACTGTCACTCACCTACTGACACTCACCCACTGCCACTCACCCACTGCCACTCACCCACTGCCACTCACCCACTGACACTCACCCACTGCCACTCACCCACTGCCACTCACCCACTGTCACTCACCCACTGCCACTCACCTACTGACACTCACCCACTGTCACTCACCCACTGACACTCACCTACTGCCACTCACCCACTGCCACTCACCCACTGCCACTCACCCACGGTCACTCACTTACTGTCACTCACCTACTGCCACTCATCTACTGACACTCACCTACTGACACTCACCCACTGTCACTCACCTACTGTCACTCACCCACTGTCACTCACCTACTGCCACTCATCTACTGACACTCACCTACTGACACTCACCCACTGACACTCACCCACTGACACTCACCCACTGCCACTCACCTACTGTCACTCACCTACTGTCACTCACCCACTGTCACTCACCTACTGCCACTCACCTACTGACACTCACCCACTGACACTCAGCCACTGACACTCACCCACTGACACTCATCTACTGACACTCACCTACTGACACTCACCCACTGACACTCACCCACTGACACTCACCCACTGTCACTCACCTACTGACACTCACCCACTGTCACTCACCTACTGACACTCACCCACTGACACTCACCTACTGTCACTCACCTACTGACACTCACCCACTGCCACTCACCTACTGACACCCACTGCCACTCACCCACTGTCACTCACCTACCGTCACTCACCTACTGACACCCACTGCCACTCACCCACTGTCACTCACCTACTGTCACTCACCTACTGTCACTCACCCACTGACACTCTTCTACTGTCACTCACCTACTGTCACTCACCTACTGTCACTCACCCACTGTCACTCACCTACTGCCACTCACCTACTGCCACTCACCCACTGACACTCACCCACTGCCACTCACCTACTGACACTCACCTACTGCCACTCACCCACTGTCACTCACCTACTGTCACTCACCTACTGCCACTCACCTACTGTCACTCACCTACTGCCACTCACCCACTGACACTCACCTACTGACACTCACCTACTGTCACTCACCTACTGACACTCACCTACTGACACTCACCTACTGACACTCACCCACTGTCACTCACCTACTGTCACTCACCTACTGACACTCACCTACTGACACTCACCTAACCCTGTGCACTGTCGTTGCTACTGCAGGGATCTCTGGGGCTCATAGGTTTGGCCGGAGCTCAAGGAGAGAAAGGAACCCGGGTGAGTTGCGCTGCCCTCTCGCTCCCCCCTCGCTCCCCCGTCGCTCCCCCCTCGCTCCCCCCTCGCTCCCCCCTCGCTCCCCCCTCGCACCCCCCTCGCTCCCCCCTCGCTCCCCCCTCGCTCCCCCCTCGCCCCCCCCCTCGCTCCTCCCTCGCTCCCCCCCCTCGCTCCCCCCTCGCTCCCCCCCTCGCTCCCCCCTCGCTCCCCCCTCGCTCCCCCCTCGCTCCCCCCTCGCTCCCCCACGCCCCCCGCTCGCCCCTCCCCCCCTCGCCCGCCCTGGCTCCTCCGATGCCGCCTCAGAACCCCTAGACGGTGTGGGGGGACCCCCTAGACAGTGTGGGGGGACCCCCTAGACGGTGTGGGGGGACCCCCTAGACGGTGTGGGGGGACCCCCTAGACGGTGTGGGGGGACCCCCTAGACGGTGCGGGGGGACCCCCTAGACAGTGTGGGGGGACCCCCTAGACGGTTTGGGGGGACCCCCTAGATGGTGTGGGGGGACCCCCTAGACGGTGTGGGGTGACCCCCTAGACGGTGTGGGGTGACCCCCTAGGCGGTGTGGGGGGAACCCTAGACGGTGTGGGGGGACCCCCTAGACGGTGTGGGGGGACCCCCTAGACGGTGTGGGGGGACCCCCTAGCCGGTGTGGGGGGACCCCCTAGGCGGTGTGGGGTGACCCCCTAGACGGTGTGGGGTGACCCCCTAGCCGGTGTGGGGTGACCCCTAGACGGTGTGGGGTGACCCCCTAGCCGGTGTGGGGTGACCCCTAGACGGTGTCGGGTGACCCCCTAGCCGGTGTGGGTGACCCCCTAGACGGTGTGGGGTGACCCCCTAGACGGTGTGGGGTGACCCCCTAGACGGTGTGGGGTGACCCCCTAGACGGTGTGGGGGGACCCCCTAGACGGTCTGGGGGGAACCCCTATCCGGTGTGGGGGGACCCCCTCTCCGGCCTGGGTGGCCATGAGCACCGCTGTTTCATCCGCTTGTGGCTGTTCCACGCTGCCGGCATGCCCCGCTGATCCAACACCCTCCTCTTAGCCGCTCTCGGCTGTCGTTCCTCACGACCGAATCTGTGAGGAGGAGCAGGATGGTGATGATGATGATGAGTGTGAGATGGAATGAAGTCTCTTTAAATATGCATGTAAGCAGCAAAGCGTTTCCCCCCCTCCTCCTCGTGCTCTTCCTCTTAACAAATAAAATATATTCCTAGCCTCTTAGCCCCGCGGCTATTTTACACATCACAGGAGTGCATCTCTCCAATTCACAGTGGCCGGGGTGGGGGGCCGTGGGGTCGGGTAGAGGGGGGTAGGGGGCTAGATTAGGGGAAGCAGTTGCCAGACTTGCTTGGGGAAATTTTCAAACGCGATCGGGATGCCTGGGAAGTGAATGAATTGCAGGACCGGCGAATGTGTCTCTGTGTGAGCCTCTGAGTCTCTGTGTGAGTCTATGGGTCTCTGTGCGAGTCTCTGGGTCTCTGTGTGAGTCTCTGGGTCTCTTTGTGAGTCTCTGGGTCTCTGTGTGAGTCTATGGGTCTCTGTGTGAGTCTATGGGTCTCTGTGTGTGGCTCTGGGTCTCTGTGTGAGTCTCTGGGTCTCTGTGTGAGTCTCTGGGTCTCTGTGTGAGTCTCAGGGTCTCTGTGTGAGTCTCTGGGTCTCTGTGTGAGTCTCTGGGTCTCTGTGTGAGTCTCTGGGTCTCTGTGTGAGTCTCTGGGTCTCTGTGTGAGTATCTGGGTCTCTGTGTGAGTCTCTGGGTCTCTGTGTGAGTCTCTGGGTCTCTGTGTGAGTCTCTGGGTCTCTGTGTGAGTCTCTGGGTCTCTGTGTGAGTCTCTGGGTCTCTGTGTGAGTCTCTGGGTCTCTGTGTGAGTCTCTGGGTCTCTTTGTGAGTCTATGTGTATCTGTGTGAGTCTATGGGTCTCTGTGTGAGTTTATGGGTCTCTGTGTGAGTCTATGGGTCTCTGTGTGAGTCTATGGGTCTCTGTGTGACTCTCTGGGTCTCTTTGTGAGTCTATGTGTCTCTGTGTGAGTCTGTGTCGCTTTATGAGTCTATGGGTCTCTATGTTAGTCTATGTGTCTCTGTGTAAGTCTATGGGTCTCTGTGTGAGTCTACGGGTCTTTGTGCTAGTCTATGGGTCTTTGTGAGTCTATGGGTCTCTGTGTGAGTCTATGTGTCTCTGTGTGTGAGTCTATGTGTCTCTTTGTGAGTCTATGGGTCTCTATGTCAATCTATGTGTCTCTATGTGAGTCTATGGCTCTCTGTGTGAGTCTATGTGTCTCTGTGTGAGTCTATGTGTCTCTGTGTGTGATTCTATATGTCGCTTTGTGAGTCTATGGGTCTCTGTGTGAGTCACTGGGTCTCTGTGTGATTCTATGGGTCTCTATGTTAGTCTATGGGTCTTTCTGCGAGTCTATATGTCTGTGTGAGTCTATGGGTTTCCGTGCGAGTCTACGGGTCTCCGTACGAAGTCTATGGGTCTCTGTGTGAGTCTTTGGTTTTCCGTGCGAGTCTACGGGTCTCCGTGCGAAGTCTACGGGTCTCTGTGCGAGTCTACGGATCTCCGTACGAAGTCTACCGGTCTCTGTGCGAGTCTATGATTTTCCGTACGAGTCTCTGGGTCTCTGTGTGAGTCTCTGGGTCTCTTTGTGAGTCTATGGGTCTCTTTGTTAGTCTCTCGGTCTCTGTGCGAGTCTATGGTTTTCCGTGCGAGTCTACGGGTCTCTGTGCGAGTCTACGGTTTTCCGTGCGAGTCTACGGGTCTCTGTGCGAGTCTACGGTTTTCCGTGCGAGTCTACGGGTCTCTGTGCGAGTCTATGGTTTTCCGTACGAGTCTCTGGGTCCTCTGTGTGAGTCTCTGGGTCTCTTTGTGATTCTATGGGTCTCTTTGTTAGTCTCTGGGTCTCTGTGCGAGTCTATGGGTTTCCGTGCGAGTCTGCGGGTCATTGGTGACTAGGCTGAGGCCACCAACTCACCGAACTGGAACCCGGAGTGGAACCCAGTCTCTGACCCTCACCCCCCCCCCCCCCCCCCCCCCCCCGTGAGCCACGCATGAGTCGAACCTCTGCAGCGAGACGTTGAAGGAAACAGAAAGGTGCCTGCCTTTGTCTTTTTTTTTGATTGGTCGTTATTCACGGCAAGCAATTTCCCCCCCCCCCCCCTCGATTAATGCTCAACAAAGGGCGTCATCATTCGGGGGCTTTTTGTTATCTCACATTGCAGACCCCCGCAATGTTGCCGTGTAATTAACTAGAGACGCCGGGGCGTGTTGTGGGCGGGTTGGGCTTGGAGCGGCGGCGCAACGGTTAGCGCACTCAGCTCGTCACCCATGGACCTTACACACCCCACCCACCCCCCGCCGTGTGCGTAAGAGGGGAAGCTCTGTGTTTGCGTGCGCCTGTACGCAAATCGGGGAGCGGTGGCGCGGGTGGTTAGCGCACCGCACTGCGAACCCGCCCGTGACGAATGTCCGAACCCGGCGCTCGGCCTCCGCCTAGGTCGGCTCGGCCCTCAAATGAGTACCTGGTGCGGTGTGTGGTAAACATCGCCGCTGGGGAGACAAAGGCGGCCCGGCGTGGTGCTGGCCACCCGGCCCCCTTCGCGTGCCGTGCCGGCCTTCACAGGTCTCTCTGCTCGAGAGTCTGCACGGGGAGGATCTATGTCCTTTGTTGTTGCTGACTGTCCCCCCCCCCCTGTCTCTCTCTCTCTCTTGTCTCGACGTTCCCTCTCAGGGAGAGACCGGGAAGCTGGGCCCGCACGGAGGCAGGGGAACGCCAGTAAGTGAGCAAGACTTCGCTGTGGGTGGTCCCACCGCCAGTCGATCGATGCGGATTCACTCCAGTCGCTCGCTCGCTCGTTCGCCAGAAGTCTTCATCCAGCAGTGGATTGATCCTGGTGTGATTGTTGTTGTTGATGATGATGATGATGCAGCAGCTGTGTACATGCAAAGGTCAATTGACAGACGTGTGTGTATGCCGGGATCTGGGCCGGGGTGTTTTTATAGTCTCGTTCAGAAGTTCATTTTCAATTTACATCCCACACGCGCAGACACACACACACGCTACACACACACAGATACACCATACATGCGCACAGCATTGACACACACACACATCGTAGACACACACACACAGCGTAGACACACACACACATCGTGACACACACGCCATAGACACACACCGCACACACACAGATACACCATACACGCGCACATCATTGACACACACACATCGTAGACACACACACACAGCGTAGACACACACACACATCGTGACACACACATCATAGACACACACCGCACACACACAGATACACCATACACGCACACATCATTGACACACACACATCGTAGACACACACACAGCGTAGACACACATACATCGTGACACACACACACCATAGACACACCGCACACACACAGATACACTATACACACACATCGTAGACACACAGATACACCATACACACACATCGTAGACACACAGATACACCATACACACACACATCGTAGACACACACACACACCGTAGACACACACACACCATAGACACACACACGCCGTAGATACAGACACACACCGTACACACACACACACACCGTAGACACACACACACCGTAAACACACACACACACCGTACACAGACACACCGTACACACACACACACACCGTAGACACACACACACCGTAAACACACACACACACCGTACACACACACACCGTAGACACACACACACACACACGCCGTAGACACACACACGCCGTAGATACAGACACACACCGTAGACACACACATACTGTAGACACACACACACCGTAGACACACACATACTGTAGACACACACACACCGTAGACACACACATACTGTAGACACACACACACCGTAGACACACACATACTGTAGACACACACACACCGTAGACACACACATACTGTAGACACACACACGCCGTAGATACAGACACACACCGTACACACACACACCGTAGACACACAGACACACACACGCCGTAGATACAGACACACACCGTACACACACTCGCGCACGCTCACTCACTCATTCATTTTAATAAACAATCTTCCCTGGCAATAAAAAAACAATATTTTCTTCTGACGCTTTAATTTTTTTTGGGAGCGTTGATGGAGGGGAGGGGGGGTGTAGGTGGGTGGGTGGGAGCGTTAGTGGGGGGGGGGGGAGCGTTGGTGGGGGGGGGAGCGTTAGTGGGGGGGGAGCGTTGGTGGAGGGTGGGGATGTGGCGGTGTAGGTGGGTGGCGGTGGGTGGGTGGAGGTGGGTGGGGGGAAGCGTTAGTGGGGGGGGAGCGTTGGTGGGGGGGGGGGTGTGGCGGTGTAGGTGGGTGGAGGTGGGTAGGTGGGGGGGAGCGTTAGTGGGAGGGGGGGGAGCGTTGGTGGGGGGGGGGGGGCACCTGAGGTGACCAATCGGGGGTCTGAATTGATCTGTAATAACGTAGGGGCAACTGATAAGGGGTTGACAACTATGCGTACGGGAGATTCACCAGGGGTGTGGGTGGCTGGGGCGGTGTCTCTACGGAGACCCAAGGACATTTACAGCGTGCCGCTTTATTCATCCGAGCACTCGGAAGCGAATTGAATCCATCAATTCGATCGGATCATTGGGGTTTATTAGTAATACATCGACATATTATTACGTGGCCAGGGACTCTATGAGATGATTAGGACAATCGTCTGAGTCCATAATTGGCAATAAGTAACGGCAAAGCGGTTTATAAGCGACTCAGAATTGTGCCCAGTTGCGTCTACAGAGTCCACGAACTCCCTGAAGGCATCAACACCTTCGACCCTCGATCGATGGCTGAGCCTTCGCCGCACACGCGTCAAAAAAAAGCAAGGGACAAGTCCTTACTTACTAACAACTCTTTACTAACACCTTGCTTACTCACAACTACTTACTCACTATCAACTGCTTACTAACAACTCCTTACTTACTAACAACTCCTTACTAACAACTACTTACTCACTAACAACTCCTTGCTAACAACTACTTACTAACAACTCCTTACTATCAACTGCTTACTAACAACTCCTTACTAACAATTACTTACTCACTAACAACTCCTTACTAACAACTCCTTACTAACAACTACTACTAAAAACTCCTTGCTTACGAACAACTCCTTACTAACAACGCCTTACTTACTAACGACTTCTTACTAACAACTCCTCACTAACAACTCCTTGCTCACTAACAACTCCTTGCTCACTAACAACTCCTTACTCACTAACAACTCCTTACTAACAACTCCTTACTAACAACTACTACTAACAACTACTACTAACAACTCCTTGCTTACGAACAACTCCTTACTAACAACGCCTTACTTACTAACGACTTCTCACTAACAACTCCTCACTAACAACTTCTTGCTCACTAACAACTCCTCACTAACAACTCCTTACTCACTAACAACTCTTTACTAACAACTCCTTACTCATTAACAACTCCTTGCTCACTAACTACTCCTCACTAACAACTCCTTACTCACTAACAACTCCTCACTAACAACTCCTTACTCACTAACAACTCCTTACTCACTAACAACTCCTCACTAACAACTCCCTACTCACTAACAACTCCTTACTAACAACTCCTTACTCACTAACAACTCCTTACTCACTAACAACTCCTTACTAACAACTCCTTACTCACTAACAACTCCTTACTAACAACTCCTTACTAACAACTCCTCACTCACTAACAACTCCTTACTAACAACTTTTTACTTACTAACAACTCCTCACTAACAATTCCTTACTTACCAACAACTCCTTACTCACTAACAACTCCTTACTCACTAACAACTCCTTACTCACTAAAAACTCCTCACTAACAACTCCTCACTAACAACTCCTTACTCACTAACAACTCCTTACTCACTAACAACTCCTTATTAACAACTCCTTACTCACTAACAACTCCTCACTAACAACTCCTTACTCACTAACAACTCCTCTATTATTTTTCATTGCCGGTGGGGGGTTACCCCCCCCTCCCGCTACCTGAACATCCTGTCTCCGCCACGTTGCACGTGCAGCAAAGCGGGCCCAAGTTCACCCCCGACTTTAGTTGAATCTCTTTGGTGTTGTGTGGTGTTGTGTGGTGTTGTGTTGTGTGGTGTTGTGTGGTGTTGTGTGGTCTTGTGTGGTGTTGTGTGGTGTTGTGTTGTGTGTGGTGTTGTGTGGGCTTGTGTGGTCTTGTGTGGTCTTGTGTGGTGTTGTGTGGTGTTGTGTGGTGTTGTGTGGTCTTGTGCGGTGTTGTGTGGTCTTGTGCGGTGTTGTGTGGTCTTGTGTGGTGTTGTGTGGTCTTGTGTGGTCTTGTGCGGTGTTGTGTGGTGTTGTGTGGTGTTGTGTGGTCTTGTGTGGTCTTGTGTGGTGTTGTGTGGTGTTGTGTGGTGTTGTGCGGTGTTGTGTGGTGTTGTGTGGTGGTGTGTGGTGTTGTGTGGTCTTGTGTGGTGTTGTGTGGTCTTGTGTGGTGTTGTGTGGTGTTGTGTGGTGTTGTGTGGCGTTGTGTGGTCTTGTGTGGTGTTGTGTGGTGTTGTGTGGTCTTGTGTGGTCTTGTGTGGCGTTGTGTGGTCTTGTGTGGTGTTGTGTGGTCTTGTGTGGTCTTGTGTGGTGTTGTGTGGTCTTGTGTGGTGTTGTGTGGTCTTGTGTGGTGTTGTGTGGTGTTGTGTGGTCTTGTGTGGTGTTGTGTGGTCTTGTGTGGTGTTGTGTGGTGTTGTGTGGTCTTGTGTGGTCTTGTGTGGCGTTGTGTGGTGTTGTGTGGTGTTGTGTGGTGTTGTGTGGTGTTGTGCGGTGTTGTGTGGTGTTGTGTGGTGTTGTGTGGTGTTGTGCGGTGTTGTGTGGTGTTGTGTCGTCTTGTGTGGTGTTGTGTGGTGTTGTGTGGTGTTGTGCGGTGTTGTGCGGTGTTGTGCGGTGTTGTGTGGTCCTGTGTGGTGTTGTGTGGCGTTGTGTGGCGTTGTGTGGTGTGGTGTTGTGTGGTGTGGTGTTGTGTTGTGTGGTGTTGTGTGGTCTTGTGTGGTGTTGTGTGGTGTTGTGTGGTGTTGTGCGGTGTTGTGTGGCGTTGTGTGGTGTTGTGTGGTGTTGTGTGGTGTGGTGTGGTGTTGTGTGGTGTTGTGTGGTGTTGTGTGGTCTTGTGTGGTGTTGTGTGGTGTTGTGTGGCGTTGTGTGGTCTTGTGTGGTCTTGTGTGGTGTTGTGTGGTCTTGTGTGGCGTTGTGCGGTGTTGTGTGGTGTTGTGTGGTGTTGTGTTGTGTGGTGTTGTGTGGTGTTGTGTGGTGTGGTGTTGTGTGGTCTTGTGTGGTGTTGTGTGGCGTTGTGCGGTGTTGTGTGGTGTTGTGTGGTGTTGTGCGGTGTTGTGTGGTGTTGTGCGGTGTTGTGCGGTGTTGTGTGGTGTTGTGTGGCGTTGTGTGGTGTTGTGTGGTGTTGTGCGGTGTTGTGTGGTGTTGTGTGGTGTGGTGTTGTGCGGTGTTGTGTCCACGTGTCCCCCCACCCCACCCATGCCCCCCCATTCCTGCGGTTCTTTTTGTCCACGACCCAAGTACCCAGTTTGACTCTGGGGCCGACCCTGGGGGGGGAGGGGGGTCAGACATTCGTGACGATGTGTGACGAGGGTTGGTGGTCTCGTCCCTTCACCTGATGAAGGCCGCTTGTGTTGTGGCCGAAACGTCGTGAGAATTTTATTGTGTTTTTTTATTTCATCAATTTATTATTTTATTCTCATTCTACGTGGTGGTGACTTTACCGAAAGAACCAAAGAAGAGTGGGGGGGGGGGGGGTGGTGTTTGAGAAATGTGACGTCACATCAAAGTGCACAACTTTAAATAAATACAGACAACACGTTCTACTTAATTAAATAGACTATTTTTTATATATAAATGTTTTCTCCCGCAACATCAGAGCGCAGCGCCACATTAAATACGCGCTACAATGACAATAGTTTAAATCAAGATTTGAAGTATGTTCGGTAAAGTCACGTTGAAGGGAAACTTCAACGTGACTTTTTTCAAATAAAATAATATAAAATCTAAATAAAACAATAAAAAAATCTCACGACGTTTCGACTGCAACACAAACAGTCATCATCATCATCATCACCTGATGATGACTGCTTGTGTTGCAGTTGCAGTCGAAACGTCGTGAGAATTTTTTATTGTTTTATATATTTTATTATTTTATTGTTTCCCTTCCACGTGACTTTACCGAAAGAACCAAGAATATGAATCCCTGCAGTCACGCAAGCTTTAAATCAAGATTTGAAGCATGTTTTATATTTTTTTTTGGAGGGGGGGGGGCAGAGCTTTGTGACGTCATAATTGAGGGGGGGCTGACTTTTTGTGAGGCCGTGTGACGAGGTCGGGGGAGGGGGGGGTCAAAAATCGTCAAAAAATCGCGTGACGTCATTTATTTGCGGCCCCTCTCCCCGCGTGTCCTATGCGGTGGGCTGGGGGTGGGGGGCTGGTGCGGCTAGCGCTCTGAGCTCAGCGGATGGATCCCGGCTGCATTCCGCGGCCGATTTGGCAGTCTTGGCGAATACTTGAAGCGGGGTCCTGACGAGTACCTGGGTGCGGTGTGTGAACATCGCCACTGGTGGAGACAAAGGCGGCCTGGCGTGTGTGCTGGCCAGCCACCCACCCCATCGTGCGCCGTGCCGGCCTTCATAGGCGCTCGCTCAAACAGCACTTGCCCCGACAGTCTGTTAAAGACTATACACGGAATCGCGGTATTTGTGAGTTCGTATTGGCCTATTTGCATTTTTTGTCTATCTGCCAGCCTGTCCTGTTTGTCGATGTGTCCGTCTCTCTGTCTGTCTTTGTAATTGCCTGCATGGTTGTCTGTCTAATTCTGGATTTGAAGTTTTCGTTACCGCAAGGATCCATACTCTTTGGTTCTTTCGGTAAAGTCACGTAGATGAAAATAATAATGATATGAAAATAACTCAATGAAATCACGACGTTTCGGGCGCAACGCCAGCGTCCGTCATCAGGTGCTTTCCCATTTTTTAATCTACGTGACTTTACCGGAAGGACCAAAGAGTATGGATGTCTGTCTGTTTCTTTATCTGTCTGTCTGCCTGCTTGACTCACTGCCTGTCTGTGTATGCACCTGGCTGCCTATGTCCGTCTCATTGAGCTCGTCAGTCTCTCTGGCTGTGTGTCTGATGTCTCTCTGCCTCTCTCTGTCTGCCTATTTGACCCTTCTCTCTGCCTAAATGTCTCTTTTCTCTTTTTGATTTAAAGCTTCCGTGACTGCAGGGATTCAAATTCTTGGTTCTTTCGGTAAAGTCACCACGTAGAAGGGAAACAATAAAATAATAAAAATATAAAACAATACAATTCTCACGACGTTTCGACTGCAACACAAGCAATCATCATCAGGTGTGAAAACCACAGGAAGAAATTTTGAAAATTTTCTTGCTGTGGTTTTATTGTTTTATATTTTAATTATTTTATTGTTTCCCTTCTACGTGACTTTACCGAAAGAACCAAGAATATGAATCTTTTTTCTCGCCTCTCTCTCGTGTCTCTCACCGACTCTTTTGTTTCTGTACCCGCTCCCTCTCTGCGTGTCTCATCTCTCTATTCTCTGTCCCTGGGACCCTCTCTATCTCTCTCTCTGCTCATCTCCCTTCCTCCCCTCTCTCTCTGTCTGTCTCCCACCCCCACCCCTCTCTCTTCCTCTGTCTCTGCTTCTCGTTTTTGTGCTCCGTTTGATGTCCAATGATTTTTTTTTATTTCCCGTGCGATGTCGAGCTGCTTTCCACCAGGGGTCCCGCAAGGCCACGGCAGCGTTTCAAACGCGCAGATTGAAGAGAGAGCCCTGTGCAGACTTAAAAGTCCCAACTCCCTCTCTCTCGCTCTCTCTCTGTCCCCTCTCTCTGTGTCTCTCCAATTGTCCAGGGTCCACGTGGAGAGCGGGGCCAAAGAGGGCAGCAAGGAAAGGCAGGCCCCAAGGTGACACTGCACACCACCGCCACCGCCGCCACCGCCACTACCGCCGCAACCACCACCGCACCGCCATCACTGTCGCCACCGTCACCGCTCCCACCACCACCACCAAACCCCCACTGCCACCACCACCACCACCGCCACTGCACCACCGCCCACCACCACCACCACCGCCCACCACCACCAAATCCCCACTGCCACCACCACCGCCCACCACCACCACCACCACCAAACCCCCACTGCCACCACCGCCACTGCACCACCACCACCGCCCACCACCACCACCGCCCACCACCACCACCAAACCCCCACTGCCACCACCACCACCACCCACCACCACCACTGCCACCACCACCACCCACCACCACCACTGCCACCACCACCACCCACCACGCCTTGCTGCGTACAAGGCGCCTGGGTTAAATTCTCGACTCAGGTGGCCTCTCTGTGTGGAGTTGGTTGTCTCGCCCTCTCCCGCAGTGCGTGAGTGCTTCCCCCCGAACCTCCAAACCTCAGCAAACCTGCGCACGTTTCCAAAAAATTGTAACTTTAACTGCGCTGAGAACCGTGCGGGTGCCCCCAAGTTCGATTCCTGGCCAAGGTCAACGTTGACGGCGAGCGAGATCTGAACCGGTCCCGAGTGTCGCTCCCAACTCCCAACTCCATTTCACACTGGGAACTTTTGTACATAAATATGAATCTCATCATTATGATTGTGTGCCCTACCCGCTGTTTCCGAGCGGCTATTGAACTTCACACGTGCGGCGGGCGACGGTGGGGCTGGAGACGGTGGGGCGGTTGACGGTGGGGTGGATGACGGTGGGGCTAACGATGGTAGGGCTGGCGACGGTAGGGCTGGCGACGGTGGGGCGGTTGACGGTGCGGTTGGCGATGGTGGGGCGGGCGACGGTGGGGCGATGACGGTGGGTCTGGCGATGGTGGGGCTGGCGATGGTGCGGTTGGCGACGGTGGGGTGGTTGACGGTGGGGTGGATGACGGTGGAGGTGCGGCTGGCGACGATGGGGCTGGCGATGGTGGGGCGGTTGACGGTGGGGGTGGGGCCGGCGATGGTGGGGCTGGCGATGGTGGGGCGGTTGACGGTGGGGTGGAAGACGGTGGGGCGGAAATCGATGGAACGTTACAGCGCTCACGATGATCTGTCGACAAAATTGGCGACCTTCAGAATGAGAAGCTGCGCGTCCTTCATTGATCCGCTGTTGGCGGTTAGCGGTGGTGGAGCGGTGGGGGGGGGGGGCGGTGGGGGGCGAACGGGGGGGGGGTGGGGGGGGGGCATCTCACCCCCTCAAGTACTCGAATTGTAAATGTTCAAGTAAGGTTAGCTCTCCAGCACACATCCGGTGTGCGCTGAACTGGCGACGAATCGGCCATGTTTTTTTTTATTTCGCGCGGCACCAACCTTACACTGATTGGGCCGCGTCAGGTGGCGGCGGGTTTTGACGACACACATTGCCGCATTCACGCGATCTGACCCAACAACAAGCCTCTATTGTGGATGATGTTGGTCGCGAACGACCTGCTGCTGCTGCTGCTGCCGCGCGTTAAACCGAGTGCTTACACGTAGAGAGGAAGAGAGGAAACCGGTGGCAGCCGCTACCCCCCCTGGTGAGCCGGGGGGGGGGGGTAACGGCCTTCGCTCCCCCCCCCCAGTGTAGTCATTTTTTTATTACTCAGCGGCCCATGATCTCACCGTGGGCGCGTCACCCGTCCTGTCATTTCAGGGCAACACCGGGTCAGATGGCGCGCCCGGACCGCAGGGCGAAAGGGTGAGTCGAGTTGTCTCTGTGAAAGTGTGTGAGTCGAGTTGTCTCTTTGAAAGTGTGTGAGTCGAGTTGTCTCTGTGAAAGTGTGTGAGTCGAGTCGTCTCTTTGAAAGGGTGTGAGTCGAGTTGTCTCTGTGAAAGTGTGTGAGTCGAGTTGTCTCTTTGAAAGTGTGTAAGTCGAGTTGTCTCTTTGAAAGGGTGTGCGTCGAGTTGTCTCTGTGAAAGTGTGTGAGTCGAGTCGTCTCTTTGAAAGGGTGTGAGTCGATTTGTCTCTGTGAAAGTGTGTGAGTCGAGTCGTCTCTTTGAAAGGGTGTGAGTTGAGTTGTCTCTTTGAAAGGGTGTGAGTCGAGTTGTCTCTTTGAAAGGGTGTGAGTCGAGTCGTCTCTTTGAAAGGGTGTGAGTCGAGTCGTCTCTTTGAAAGGGTGTGAGTCGATTTGTCTCTTTGAAAGGGTGTGAGTCGAGTTGTCTCTTTGAAAGGGTGTGAGTCGAGTTGTCTCTTTGAAAGGGTGTGAGTCAAGTCGTCTCTTTGAAAGGGTGTGAGTCGATTTGTCTCTTTGAAAGGGTGTGAGTCGAGTCGTCTCTTTGAAAGGGTGTCAGTCGAGTCGTCTCTTTGAAAGGGTGTGAGTCGATTTGTCTCTTTGAAAGGGTGTGAGTCGAGTCGTCTCTTTCAAAGGGTGTGAGTCGATTTGTCTCTGTGAAAGTGTGTGAGTCGAGTCGTCTCTTTGAAAGGGTGTGAGTCGAGTCGTCTCTTTGAAAGGGTGTGAGTCGAGTCGTCTCTTTGAAAGGGTGTGAGTCGATTTGTCTCTTTGAAAGGGTGTGAGTCGAGTTGTCTCTTTGAAAGGGTGTGAGTCGAGTTGTCTCTTTGAAAGGGTGTGAGTCGATTTGTCTCTTTGAAAGGGTGTGAGTCGAGTCGTCTCTTTGAAAGGGTGTGAGTCGAGTCGTCTCTTTGAAAGGTTGTGAGTCGAGTCGTCTCTTTGAAAGGGTGTGAGTCGAGTTGTCTCTTTGAAAGGGTGTGAGTCGAGTCGTCTCTTTGAAAGGGTGTGAGTCGAGTTGTCTCTTTGAAAGGGTGTGAGTCGAGTCGTCTCTTTGAAAGGGTGTGAGTCGAGTCGTCTCATTGAAAGGGTTAGAGTCGAGTTGTCTCTTTGAAAGTGTGTGAGTCGAGTCGTCTCTTTGAAAGGGTGTGAGTCGATTTGTCTCTTTGAAAGGGTGTGAGTCGAGTCGTCTCTTTGAAAGGGTGTGAGTCGAGTTGTCTCTTTGAAAGTGTGTGAGTCGATTTGTCTCTTTGAAAGGGTGTGAGTCGAGTTGTCTCTTTGAAAGGGTGTGAGTCGAGTTGTCTCTGTGAAAGTGTGTGAGTCGAGTTGTCTCTTTGAAAGGGTGTGAGTCGAGTTGTCCCTTTGAAAGGGTGTGAGTTGAACATTCTCTATAAAAGGGTGTGAGTTGAACATTCTCTATAAAAGGGTGCGAGTTGTTGTTGCCGTATTTGTTTCTGCTGCGGTTGTTGTTGATGTTGTTGTGTGATCCCACGTGTGGCCTCCTGTCTACCCAAAGAGCTCGTTATTTGTGCAATCATCGCCACATCTCACGGCCGTGTTGACAGCTTGGCAACATCTTCATCCAGCAGTGAATCGATCGTGACTGTTGCTGCTGCTGCTGCTGATGATGATGATGAGTTGTTAAACAGGATTCCGAGCTGTGAATTGGCTATCAGGGTTATTATTTAGTTTTTTTGTTTTTTCAATAAATGGAGAGACTGGGCCACCCCGTCCACTTACATTGCCCCGGATATTTCAAGGACTCGCCGCAGAGCAATGCCATGTTGAATTTGTCTGACTAATGTTGTGTTGAATTGACTGACTAACGTTGTGTTGAATTTGTCTGACTAATGTTGTGTTGAATTGACTGACTAATGTTGTGTTGAATTTGTCTGACTAATGTTGTGTTGAATTTGTCTGACTAATGTTGTGTTGAATTGACTGACTAACGTTGTGTTGAATTGTCTGACTAATGTTGTGTTGAATTTGAATAACTAATGTTGCGTTGATTTGACTGACTAACGTTGTGTTGAATTGTATGACTAATGTTGTGTTGATTTGTCTGACTAATGTTGTGTTGAATTGACTGACTAACGTTGTGTCGAATTGACTGACTCATGTTTTGTTGAATTGACTAATGTTACGTTGAATTTACTGACTAATGTTGTGTTGAATTTGTATGACTAATGTTGTGTTGAATTGTCTGACTAATGTTGTGTAGAATTTGTCTAACGTTGCGTTGAATTGATTGACTAATGTTGTGTTGAATTGACTGACTAATGTTGTGTTGAATTGACTGACTGTTGTGTTGAATTGACTGATTTATATTGTGATGATTTGTCTGACTAATGTTGTGTTGAACTGACTGACTAATGTTGTGTTGAATTTGTCTGACTAATGTTGTGTTGAACTGACTGACTAATGTTGCGTTGAATTGACTGACTAATGTTGTGTTGAATTGACTGACTAACGGTGTGTTAAATTGATTGACTAATGTTGTGTTAAATTGACTGACTAATGTAGTGTTGAATTGACTGATTAACGGTGTGTTGAATTGACTGACTAATGTTGCGTTGAATTTGTCTAATGTTGTGTTGAATTGACTGACAAATATTGTGTTGATTTATCTGACTAATGTTGTGTTGAATTGATTGACTAATGTTGTGTTGAATTGTCTGACTAATGTTGCGTTGAATTTGTCTGACTAATGTTGTGTTGAATTGTCTGACTAATGTTGTGCTGAATTTGTCTAACTAATGTTGTGTTGAATTGTCTAATTGTTGTGTTGAATTGACTGGCTAATGTGTTGATTTGTCTGACTAATGTTGTGTTAAATTGACTGACTAATGTTGTGCTGAATTTGTCTGACTAATGTTGTGTTAAATTGACTAATGTTGTGCTGAATTTGTCTGACTAATGTTGTGTTGAATTGTCTGACTAATGTTGTGTTGAATTGACTGACTAATGTTATGTTGAATTTGTCTGACTAATGTTGTGTTAAATTGACTGACTAATGTTACGTTGAATTTGTCTAACTAATGTTGTGCTGAATTTGTCTGACTAATGTTGTGCTGAATTTGTCTGACTAATGTTGTGCTGAATTTGTCTAATGTTGTCCCCCTGGTGTCCCCAGGGACCTCCTGGATCGCAAGGGCCCACTGGCTTCCCTGGACCCAAGGGACCTCCAGTGAGTGTTTGTCAGCCTCGGTGGTCATCATCACCATGGTCACCATCACCATGGTCATCACCATGGTCCCCATCACCATGGTCCCCATCACCGTGGTCATCGTCACCGTGGTCACCATCACCATGGTCCCCATCACCATGGTCACCATCACCATGGTCATCATCACTGTGGCCCCCATCACCATGGTCATCATCACCTTGGTCCCCATCATCATGGTCACCATCACCGTGGTCACCATCACCGTGGTCATCATCACCATCGTCCCCATCATCATGGTCACCATCACTGTGGTCACCATCACCGTGGTCATCATCACCGTGGTCACCATCACCATGGTCATCATCACCATGGTCACCATCACTGTGGTCACCATCACCGTGGTCATCATCACCGTGGTCACCATCACCATGGTCATCATCACCTTTGTCCCCATCACCATGGTCATAATCACCTTGGTCACCATCACCGTGGTCATCATCACCATGGCCCCCATCAACATGGTCATCATCACCTTGGCCCCCATCACCGTGGTCATCAACACCGTGGTCACCATCATCATGGTCACCATCACCATGGTCACCATCACCATGGTCATCATCACCATGGTCACCATCACCATGGTCATCATCACCATGGCCCCCATCACCATGGTCATCATCACCTTGGTCCCCATCACCATGGTCATCATCACCATGGTCCCCATCACCGTGGTCATAATCACCTTGGCCCCCATCACCATGGTCATCATCACCGTTGCCATGGTTATTATGAATGACATCATCTTGTTGGTCTTCGTCATGGTGATGGTCATCATCATCATCGTCATTGGTGTCATCCCGTTAAATCATAACCATTGACGAACACCTCCCCACGCACAATGTCGCCTTGACCATACGCTGGTCAGAGCGGGTCACCGAAGCTGCCGGTGTGACGGAGCGCAGGGCCCGCCCCCAATGATATCCCTCCACCGATATAACGAGCCGTGGCCCGGAATCGCACTCGGGTCGGCAAGTTCACGGCGTGGCACGCTGAACCACTGTGCCGTCAGTTTATCACGTAGGCCTCATCACGCGGGCCTCATCACGCGGGCAACATCACGTGGGCCTCATCACCCGGGCCTCATCACGCGGGCAACATCACGTGGGCCTCATCACCCGGGTTTCATACGTGGGCCTCATCACGTGGGCTCCACCTGAATGGGTTAAATGATGACGTCACCCTTGCTGCTCTATTTAAGACCGGGAGCAAGTGGAGAGGGCTTCACCATTCTGGCAAATTGCCCGATGATGCTGGATGTTATTACCAGCGAAACGTCGTACTCAAAAATTGTAAATGTTGTGGATTCACTCTTCAACACGCGACGGTGGGCTAAAGTAGTGAAATATTTTGTCTTTTGTCAACGTGACACATGTTTTTTTTTTACTGATTGGCCGTGTCGGGTGGTGGAGGGTTGCGACACATTTATAAATAACGCGATCTAACCCCAGGAACCTTTATCATGAACACTGTGCCGTGCCGCCAAACCCTCACTCCCCATCGAAATATCCGTGCAGAATCTCGACCCTGCCGTCCGCCCTATTTTTTAAATTAAAATATTCGTTTCATTTTAGGAGATGTAAGGCGCCCGCTGAGCTGCTACGTAGCTTTTTTTCAGCAGCGACCTGGCCATCACAAATGATGGCCCAGCCAAAGTGGGGGGGGGGGGGGGGCTTATCATCGTCGTCGTCATCATCACGTGGAAGTGTACAGCTGCAGCCAAACACTCGAAACCTGCGACGTCCATTCGAAATGAGGAGGGGAAAAACCGAAGGACCCGGAGGAAAATCCACGCCACCACGGGGAGAGAGAGAGAGAGAGACACGCAAACTTTAAATAATGCAGCAGGCGTCACGGTTGGGATCGAACCCACGACCTCCTGCATAGCAGGCGAGGGAGTTAACATCTCTTGGCCACCCGTGGCCCCCCCACGCGTCCGCCCGTGCCCGCGCCAGTGCCTGTGTAGGATTGTGGGTGAGCTCTCCGGGAACTCGTTGAGCCCGGTCTGGACGGGGGGAGCTGACCAGACTCTCGTCTTTTTTCGTCCCTTCCAATCCCCAGGGCCCCGCCGGCAAAGATGGACCACCGGGGCATCCGGGACAGCGAGGAGAGATCGTGAGTTCACCCCTCCCCATGAGCGGCAGCACCAGCAGCAGTCCCGTGATGAGCATTGGCAGATCCGAGGGCGGGAGGGGGGTGTTTGGTGGGGGTTTGTGGAGGGTTTGCTCCCTCCCCCCCACGCTACCCCCTCTCCGCTAACCTCCCCCCTCCTCCTCCTGAGACCTCAAACACATCGGTATTGTAGTGTTATTTATAGAGGACATAGTACGTGGATTGTTCTGTTTATTAATCTCGGGGCCCTACTTAAAAAAAGATTGACATTCTGGACAACCCTCCCACCCTTGGGAGGTTTCTAGATCCGTGCGTGTGTGCGCATGCATGCGCGTGTGCCTTGTGTCCGTGTGTGCGTGTGTATCGTGTGCGTGCGTGCGTGCATGTTTGTTCGTGCCTTTGTGTTTGTGCGCGTGCATTCGAGAGATTACGGATAGACCTTTCAGAGACGAATCGTGATTCGGGCCGACGGGAATTCATCGAGTGGCAGGAGAGGTGAATTTGTCACATGGTGTATTGCCACCTGTACTGGTTCGACCCGGTACATTCAGGGGGTGGGGGGGGGGGGAGAATCGGCGTCCGTGTGGCAGCGGGAATCGATTTGTAATCGAGGTCTGGCGGCCACTGAACTACACCGCAGCACCAGATAGGCCGAGTGCCGAGCGAGAAACGCGGCCCCGGGCTTCGGCCTGCAGCGGAAGGAGAGGTTGGAGGCCCCGATTGCTTTTTTTTGTTTTGTTACGGACCCTGGCCCATCCGTCTCGCGCTCGTTCCGTTTTGAGGGTGGGAGGTGTTTTTGGAGAAATCGGAGAGAGAGAGAATGAGCGAGAGAGAGCAAGAGAGGGAGAGCGAAAGAGAGCGACAGCGAGCAAGTGAGAGAGAGAGCGAGCAAGAGAGAGAGAGAGAGCGGGCGAGAGAGAGAGAGCGAGCAAGTGAGACAGAGAGCGAGCAAGAGAGAGAGCGGGCGATAGAGAGAGCGAGCGAGAGAGAGAGCGAGAGAGAGAGAGAGCAAGAGAGAGTGAGCAAGACTTTGACTTTTAAACAACTTTTATTGCCACCAGGAGCAACAGCACTGGAGGCGATTCCGATATGAAAGACACAAAGTCACCAGCAAACAAAATAAACGCTGTAAATCCACGCGTTGTAACGCTAGATGCACCGCGCACAACACGACAGAAAAGTCACGTGGTGGTGGTGGTGTGGTGGTGGTGGTCATCGTGCACGCCATGGTGACGAGCGAGCGCTTCAGAGAGAGATAGAGGGAGAGATAGAGAGAGAGATCGGTAGAGAGATAGAGAGATCGATAGAGAGATCGATAGAAATATAGAGAGATAGAGAAAGAGATAGAGAGATAGAGGGAGATAGAGAGATAGAGAGAGATAGAGAGAGATAGAGAGATAGAGATCGATAGAGAGATAGAGATATAGAGAGAGATAGAGATAGAGAGATAGATAGATAGAGAGATAGAGAGATCGATAGAGAGAGATAGAAAGATAGAGAGAGATCGATAGGGAGATAAAGAGAGAGAGAGCGATAGAGACAGAGACTTTTTGACTTTTTAAACAACTTTTATTGCCGCCAGCAGCAAAAGCACTGGAGGTGATTTCGATATGAAACACACAAAGTCACCAGCAAACAAATGAAAATAAACGCTACAAATCCACGCGCTGTGGCGCTAAAAAGCACCGCGCACAACATGACAGAAAAGTCACGTGGTTGTGGTGGTCATCGCGCACGCCACGTTGACGACCGAGCGCTACAGAAGGTGAACACGTGGGGTGCCGTCCACGCTGGTACAGAGAGGGGCTTGTCCGGCTCCCCAGCATTCGAAGAGGGCGCGCTGCACATCACCGACATGCGTGTGGTATGCGTGCTCCAGCCGGAGCTGCACCTTAAGCAGGCCTCTGAACACTGGAAGCAGCACAGAGCAGCCGTCAGTGTCACCTTCCAGCATCTTTTTTCTCGTTCTGTACATCGCCATCTTCGCCTGAGCAGAGGTAAAGTTGACGAGGTCATGGCGTTTGTTAGCCAGGTAAGGCACCACCCCACTGCTGTTGTAAAAGGGCACCCCCAGTTTCCTGAAGATGTCCCCCAAAAGGCGGAACATTGGTTTGAGCCGCTGGCAGTGTAAGTGCTGGTGGGGCAGATCCTCCCTGGCACCGCAGGAAATGCACCAAGTCTGTTACCCCTGGCGAGATTCGGCTGAGCCACACGGCCGATGGCCACGTGCAGTGTGCCAACCTCCACTGGAGGTCACCGCAGCGTTTGGCTACGGGAGACTTTGTACATTTGTTTCCACTGAGGGGCGGCCGCAATGAGGGGAGAGAAATGGTCTCTCCATTTTGTGTCCAGTAGGTCAGCCAAGTCCCGGGAATGCAGCGCCTTGACACAGCCACGTGTAGAGCGCTGTGTTTGGGGCGCTCTTGAGCGCCACGTTCCTGCAGCCTCGGAGCTTCAGTAGCTTGCCGGAGTCGCTGTGGCCGGGGGGCTGCGTGCAGGAGGAGCACAACTCCGGGAAGGAGGAGGAGGGGGGGGGCTGCCACCATCCCCCGGTGCCTCCAGCTTCAGGCGCAGCTCCTTCATGGCGCGGAGCAACGTCCCGCAGCAGCTTCTCCCCGGCGAGCATGGAGCCGAGTCCCCTAGCGGTGCTGGCGATCTCAGCTGCAATCTTTCACTTGGGCTGGTGGGCCTGCACGAGGTGGAAGACTGTCCGCAGCCCTGCTGATGTGAGGCGTTGAGCCAGGGTCCTCTCTCCTCTGATTCCCTGGAAAAGGTCGTTGCAGAACAAGGGGCTCGTTCAGGAACTGCGCGATGTCGTAGGGCGCGCGCGTTCTGCTCCACTCGAAGCTCCGCCACGTGTCCAAGAGGCTCTCGTGATAACCTGGCAGCCTCGTGTAGTCGACCAGGCTCAGGTCCATCAGGAAGAGCTCCTGTCCGTACCCCAGGTAACTCCCCTGCATTCCTCACCAGGGCGAGGGCCGGCGACTTCCAGAGTAGCTCCTCCCAGTCGTACAGTAGCCGTGTGACTGCCATGAGCCTAAAACTCATGACCCTGGCTGCGATGTCCACCAGACCCTGGCCGCCCTCGGCCACCGGCAGGCAGAGAACGCTTGGCCTGAGCCGGTGCTTCCCATGCCAGACGAAGCGCGCGAGTGAGCGGTTGACTCTGGTGAGTAGCCAAGCAGGAGGCTGGAGGGCCATGGTCTTGTGCCACAGCACAGATGCAGCCAGGGTGCTAGCGACGAGCACTCGGCCCCTGAATGACATCTGCGGAGCGAGGCGTGGTGCCCATGTCAGTAATTTAGCTTCGATTGTGTCGGCCAGCTCGGTCCAGTTGTTCAGAGCGACGTCACGTGGTTTCCCCAGGTAAACCCCCAGGTACTTGACTCCGTCGTGCCGCCAACTGACTTCTACTGTGAGGACCACAGAGCAAACGCCGCCTCGCGACCCCAAACACAGAGGGGGCCTCGCACTTGGGCCAATTGGCCCTGGCGGAGGAGGCCCTCTTGTACACTGCAACCGCCTGGCAGAGCACGGAGGCGTCATGCGGGTCGTTGAGCACGACGCATCACGACGTCGTCTGCATAAGCCGAGAGCTTGATGACCGCGTTCTCAGGTCCCGGGACTTTGACGCCAGACAGATTTCATCTCAGGTGGCGTAGCAGTGGCTCAATGGACAGGGTGTACAGCTTCCCCGAGAGGAGGCATCCCTGTCTGACCCCCCTCGTCACAGAGAAAGGGGTGCCGAGCCGCTGGTTGATCTTCAAGAGGCTGGATGTGCCTCTTGAGGATCGGAAAAACCGGAGGGTACGATTTTACTGATCCCGAGCAGGTTAATGCCGCTGGCGTTGACGTTCAGTCGGTCGGTCGAGCCTGGCAAGGCTTATCCTGCCTTGAGAGCCGCATCGGCACCGAGAGAACTGCCGCTGGGCTGGATGCTGTAGTCGCCGCACGTCACGCAGATCCAGTCTCCGCACGAGCTCGGCTAGCGGCCGTGCGGATTCAGGGTGAGGTTCGGCGGTGTTGCGGTCGAGAGCCGGGTCGAGGGTGCAGTTAAAGTCTCCCCCCACGACGGTGAGCAACGTCGTCTGTCGCAAGTGCGTCCCGAGCGCGTTTGAACGGAGGCGGCCCCCCGGGTTTTCCGACGCCGCTTGGCGCGTGGAGCTTCCGCCGTTCCCGAGTGACTTCTCCGTGCGGATGTTCGCCCGCCGAAGCCGCCGTCCACGCGCGGCCGGCGAAAGGAAAAGCAGCGGCGGCACATCGCGCGGGCGACGTTTCGACCACCTCTGGGGAAACGGCGGCTCTCCGTTTGCCACGATCCGACTCACGACGACGACGGGGCGGTTGTTCCAGGAGCGCCCCGTGCCGTCGCGCTGAGCGCAGGAAGAACACAAACCTGTCAGACCCCTTATCAGTGACCTACCTTATTACGGACGAATTCAGACACCTTATTGGTCACCCCGTGCCCCTTATAAATCTCAGCGTTCATCCTACAGTCCCATCACAAGGGAGAAACGCAAAAAAATTGACACAAATTATCTTACTAAACTGTTTTACGTATTGATTTTGGTAATTGGTGTCTATGATGCTTATTATGCTATACTGTTTGTGATCCAGCATGCTGATGCTGTCGCTTGCTTGATATGTGGATGCACACACTCACATACCTGTCAACCATACCATATTACAGACCCATTCAGACACCTTATTGATCACCCCGTGCTCCTTATAAATCTCAACGTTCATCCTACAAAGTCCCATCACGAGGGAGAAACACAAACAAATTGACACTATTTTGTTTTCCCGTTTTGAAACGGCTGTACTCCGTACGGGCCTGACAACTCAATGTCCCTGCCCAAGATTACGGGGTAAACCGTATGGGTCGAAAGCTTTGGGAGCGCCTGCATTCGGGAGTTTTCGCGGCTTTGGAAAGCTGGAGCGAGATGAAAGATAAGCGACAGCGGCAGGACTAGTGGAAAACGCGACGACGCAAAACTGCCCCAGTGAGGAGACTGCCATAGTGGTTAGGCTTTTTTTGGGGCCTGTGCTCAGCGCATTGTGGATTCAATTATTATCCATACAATCTGGGTGATCTGTGCCTAACGCTCATCGCACCGTGTGTGACCCCGGGTAGGCTCCGGGGAATTTCATGCGATTTTAAATATTTAGCTTTCGTTGTCCACGAAAGGCTTGTTAAGGTTGCAACTAATTATTAGCTCGGTGTTACGAGAACGATCGATTTTCTCCAAACATATACGTACACAGCTTCGGTGATCGGTGTCCACACGACTCCGACACTCTGCAATGCCGTGCGTGTTGCGTCGCCGGCCTAGGCTACGCGGTTCCGAGTGACGTCACGAATTATCCAGCAGGATTTATTTTCGCCACGCCACTGTGACCACTTTTACGGAGCCGCGTGAACTCCCGAATGCCGGCACTCCCGTAGCTGTCGACCCATCACGGTTTTCCCCGTATACTTCTTGTACAGGGAAATTGAGTTTTCAGGTCCATACAGCGTACAGCCGTTTGTGTTTCTCCCTTGTGATGGGACTTTGTCGGATGAACGTTGAGATTTGTAAGAGCACCACGGGGTGACCAATAAGGTCTGAATTGGTCTGTAATAAGGTAGGGGCACTGATAAGGGGTTGACAGGTACATAGTGGCAAGTGTAGTGGTGAGTGCACTAGTGGTGAGTTGTACAAGTCATGAGTGTAGTGGCGAGTGTAGTAGTGGTGATTGCCTATTTGCTTGATATGTGCAGCCACTTATCAGGCGAGCGGCAGCGTCAGCATGCAAGATCACAGACAGTAGCGTGATAAGTAGCATCAATGACACGTAAAATGGACCATTATAGTAGCCGATTCGAAATCTGCAGCCCCCCTCCCCCTTCAAAAGGAAAGGATGTATGTGCAGCGGCACACGGTCTGGCGATTCGTGAAACGCACACCATCGTTTTTTTGTCGTGGCCGAAATAATTTCAGAATCCATTGGTGGAGATGTTCTGCCTTCATGCCACCATCCGACGTGAATTCACCGTTGAATTTTGAGAGCCAGGACGAACTTCCGATCGTTCCCGCATCTACTGTCACTACCAATGGGTCACGCACCGAGTCTCGTTGGACTTTACCCTGGCGAACCCGCGCCTGGATTTGAAGCTTTGGTGACCGCAAGGATTCATACTCTTTGTTTTTTTTTAAATAAATGAAGACGACTCGATTAAATCACGACGTTTCGGGCGCAACACAAGCATCCGTCATCAGGTGGGGAAAGCGTGGCCTACGGCTGATGCAGAGTATCTTTTAATTCCCGTTGCTTTGGTCAAGATGCGCAAAATGAAACGGACAAAACAAAGTGCCGGTCCCGAGACAATTCGTCTCGAGGGAAAAAAAAAAAAAAAAAAACTCTTTTGGGGCGAGCTGATCGTCAATTTGCACCAAAAGTGACGTATACATAGAGACCTTTTATGTAGCAAATTCGATACCATCTTTTTACATTTTAGTCTTTTTAATTAAATGTTTTTTTTTATATATATATATATGAACCCGTCACATTACGGGCGATGACACACGTTACGTGATGACGACGGCAGTAATGATGCCCCCGCAAGCGCTGGGATACGATATTGAACCATCACTCTCCTGCGCCTGGGTGAGAGCTGCCAAATTTTGGGCGTTAACAAGCTGCTTTGTCCATACCACAGTTTTTTTTTTTTTGGGGGGGGTTAAATCGCGTAAATAAATAAATGTGCCGTTAAACCCGCCACCAGCCGACGCAGACGATTAGCAAGGTTAGTCAAGTAAACGGAATGTGCCAATTCGTTACTAGTAGAGCACACGCCGGCTTGTGCTGGAGATCAAAGCCACGACATTTTCGTTCGCGTGACAAACCTCACCAATTGGCTGTGTCGGGTGGTGGCGGGTTTTTGACGACGCGTTTATTTTCTTCTGTGGTTCTTTCGGTAAAGTCACGTAGGATGAGAATAAAATAATAAAATAAAATAAGACAATTAAATTCTCACGACGTTTCGGCCACAACACAAGTAGCCTTCTTCAGGTGAAGGAACAAAAACTGTCGGGACGACAGAGCTTCAATGAAGCTTCAATGCAGCTCTGTCGTCCCGAAGCTCTGTCGTTCCGAAGCTCTGTCGTCCCGACAGTTTTTGTTGCTTCACCTGAAGAAGGCTACTTGTGTTGTGGCCGAAACGTCGTGAGAATTTTATTGTCTTATTTCATTATTTTATTCTCATCCAACGTGACTTTACCGAAAGAACCAAAAAAGATGTATCCTTGCAGTCAGGAAAGCTTTAAATCGAGACGCGTTTATTATATAGGGTGCTTCAAAACAATGATAACACTTCCGAGAATTTGCAAAGACACCACGGGAAGTGGTGCTGCCTCCGGTCCCAGGCCACGCGTTGATAACGATGGCGAACAAGTGGAGGCTCTTTGGAGCTACTGACATCCGTTTGTTGTCATGTTGCAGTGCAGCGTCCGTTGTGTTTCTATTCAAAACGATAATCTCGTGCGAATGTTAACATTTTTTTGAAGCACACTGTACATGTACGCAATCTACCCCCCCCCCCCACCCACCAAAAAAACACCCTGTACTGTGGACAAAATTCATATTATTGGTTCTTTCGGTAAAGTCAGGTAGATAGAAAATACAAAAATAAAATTAATTAGAAATTAAAAATAAGTCAAAAATTAAAGCAAAAATCCCAGTGGGTTTTCGGTAAAGTCACGCAGGTAGAAAAATAAAATAATAATAAATCACGACGTTTCGATCGCAACACAAGCGGTCGTCCTCTGGCAGATATTTTTTTTAAATACATATTATTTTTATTTTCTATCTAGGTGACTTTACCGAAAGAACCAAGAATATGAATTCCTGATGTCACGAAAGTTTCAAGTCAAAAAATGTGGACGATATTGATCGCGAAAGCCTCCTGCCGCGTGCTGAGCTGCTTTGTGTCCTCCCGCGTTGCTGCTGCTGCTGCTACTGCAGGGCTTCCAAGGCAAGACTGGAGTGGCTGGACCTCCCGGCGTGGTCGGACCTCAGGTAGGCGGTGCTGCCAAAACGCCGGACGAGCCGCGTCTACTGCCGTTCAACGTTGTGCAGCGATGAAAAATAATGACGACGACACTCGTGATGATACAACCATCGTGATGATACATCACCACCACCACCACCCCCACCACCACCACCCCCACCACCACCACCCCCACCACCACCACCCCCACCACCACCACCCCCCCCCCACCACCACCACACCCCCCCACCACCAACACCACCACCACCACACCCACCCCCACCACTCCCACCACCACCCCCACCACCACCACCACACCACCACCCCCACCACCACCACCCCCCATAACCACCACCCACACCACCACCCCCACCACCACCACCACCAATACCACCCCCGCTTTGCACAGGGCCCTTCGGGGCAGACCGGGCCCATGGGGGAGAGAGGCCACCCAGGCCCGCCGGGCCCTCCGGGAGAGCTCGGCCTGCCCGGCGCCGACGGCAAGGAGGGGTCCAAGGTGAGGCCGCGGAGAAGTCGACCGAACGACTTCGAAGGTCCTCGTGGCTTGAAGTTTAGAAATCTGCGGCAGCACCCCCGGGAGCGCTGAGCGTCTGGCTAAGCTGCCCAGGGACAAGCGTGCCCCGCTAGGCTGCCGCCGGCTTCCGCGGATATTTTCCTGTTTCAATCGAAGTGTCATTGAAAAGTTCGAAATCTGCGGCAGCACCGTGGGAGTATGCTCGCGTCTGGCCAAGCTGCCGAGGGAACAAGCATTGACCCATTATGAGACCTCCTTTGCCAGAATCAAGATATCGGAATAGGTTTTACCCTTTTAACTGGCACAAAAACTGACACCTTTATTCAAGGCATCATGTTTGCAATAACCACAACACAAGCAGTCAAAATGCAAACAAAAAAGACAACTCTGATAATAATATTGGCACTGTCCTTGAATTTGATTGGTCCACACCCGAGACGGCTTTTCTTTGAGCCTAGTCTCCATTGGTGTTGGACCAGAAGACGCCAAAAGGCGTGGTTATTTTGACTGCTTGTGTTGTGGTTATTGCAAACATGATGCCTTGAATAAAGGTGTCAGTTTTTGTGCCAGTTAAAAGGGTAAAACCTATTCCTAAGCATTGACCCCTCGGCTTCCGCAGGCTTCCTCGGATATTCTCCCCCGTTGCAACGAGAAGTTTTAATGAAGAGTTAGGAAACCCGTGAAAGTGCCTCTTGGGAGTGTTGCCGTCTGGCTATGCTACACAGGTGGCAGGGCCAGAGGCCACTTTTGCACCTCTGAATGTTTTTTTTTTCCGCGGTTTTCAAGCGAACGTCGAAAAAGTTAGAAATCTGCGCGCGTCTCCCATCGAGGACGCGCGGCGTGGCTCACGGAGACGTGGCTAGGCCTCGGCAAGGTAACGTAAAAGGTTAAAAGCAAACGAGCCTACCTTGACCCTACCTTTTACCCTTACCCCATACAAATTACCCGATTGCAGGGTAATTATTGGGGTACTTCTACACATGAACAAGGTGTATAGCAGGTAAATGCTAGGTAGAGCGCTTTATTCATCTAGAATACTCTCGATTATTCCAATTTAATACGCTTTCTTTTAACTCACTCTGTTGTTGTGGTCGTTGTATCTTCAAATGTTGTAACTCAATTTTAACCCACTTCGCAATGTGGTATCGACTGCAAACTTGGTATACTTATGTCAAACTGATGACAATACTATATTCTATCATTAAAAATAACAAATAAATATTTTTTAACATTTTTTTACACGTTATGTTTCGGGTTTGGGTCTAATTGTCCACTGTCAACTGACGTTGGCTGTAATTACTCACGGTCCCTTACGGGGCCACTTCCTGGAGTCGTGGAGTTTTGCCATTACTCGCACATTTCATGAAAGCGTGTTTTTTTTAAAAAAAAGCTGTGTTTAAAATATTACTTATTAAATGGTAGGCCACGGACTGCACCACGGAGCTTTTAGCGGTAAACAAGGCACCGTATTTACCGGGTAATACTTCACGGAAGAATTACCCGGTAGGGAGACAAAGGCAGCCGGGCGTGGTGCTGGTCACCCAACCCCTCGTGTGCCGTGCCGGCCTTCATAGGTGCTCGCTAACAGCACTTGCCCCAACAGTCTGTTACAGGCTCTATGGGGGATCTTTTTTGTGTGTGTACGCACACGTGTGTGTGTGTGTGTAGCTACCTTTACCCTACCCTTTACCTTTCCCCTTGGCATGTCGACACCTTTACCTTTTGCCCGGTGAAAAGGGTAAATGACCTTACCTTGCCGAGGTCTAGACGTGGCCACGTCAGATTCGCCAACCTAATGCTGAGATTTCAGCAGGCTGTGTCGATCGCTGGGTTTGGCTCGCCAACGAGACACTTTGCTTTAAAGTGCACACGTAACGGGGGGGGGGGGGGGAGAAAATATTTAAAGCCCTCACAAACGAAGCTTTGTAAGCTCCTCTCTCTAGACTTAAAACTTTCGTGGCTGCAGGAATTCATATTCTTGGTTCTTTCGGCAAAGTCACTTAGATAGGAAACAAAAAAATCTTAAATAAAAGCGAAATAATCCACGACGTTTCGATCGCAGCGCAAGCGGTCTTCATCAGGCGGAGAGAAAAGTGTGGGCAAGCCTGAATCTCCCCACTTGTGCCCCCCAATTCCTTCACCCCACCCCCCCCCCCGTCTCTGGCATGCAGGGAGACCCGGGGCCGCTGGGGAGCCCGGGGAAGGAGGGCCCCTCGGGGCTGCGAGGGTTCCCGGGCGAGAGGGGCCTGCCGGGCCCCGTGGTGAGTGAGCGACTGCACCGCAAGCAACACGCGTACACACACACACGCGCGTACACACGCACACACACACACGCACACGAACACACACACGCACACACACGTACACACACGTGCACACACGCGTACACACGCACACACACGTACACACACACACGTACACACACACACGTACACACACGTACACACACGCACACGTACACACACACGTACACACACACACGTACACACACACGTACACACACGTACACACACGCACACGTACACACACACGCACATACGTACACACACACAGGTACACACACACACGCACACACGTACACACACACACACGCACACACACGCACACACACACATGTACACACACACACGTACACACAGACATACACACACACACGTACACACACACGCACATGCGTACACACACACGCACATGCGTACACACACGCATACACACCCACATACACACACACACACGCGTACACACACGCGCGTACACACACACGCGCGCGCGTACACACACACACACGCGTACACACACACGCACGTACATACACACTCGCGTACACACACACACGCGCGCGTGCACACAGGCGCACACGCACATACACGTATGTGCACGAGGCAACCCAGGCAGATGGCCAGATACGATCACCACAATCATATTTGTCGCTCAAATTTGACCCATTTGCCCATTCACCCACTCACCCATTCACCCACTCACCCATTCACCCACTCAATCATTCACCCACTCACCCATTCACCCACTCACCCATTCACCCACTCAATCATTTACCCACTCACCCATTCACCCACTCACCCATTCACCCACTCACCCATTCACCCACTCACCCATTCACCCACTCAATCATTCACCCACTCACCGGCTCACCCATTCACCCACTCGCCCACTCACTCAACTATTCACCCACCAACTCACTTAAAACCTCGCCCACTCATCCACTCACCGATAGACCCATTCGCTCACTCAATCATTTACCCACGCACTCATTCGCATACCCACTCACTCACTCAAGCACTCACCCACTAATCCACTCGCCCATTCGCCCACTCTGTTCACAATGGACTCGTGGGTTAGGCCACGCCAACGATCTCAACCAAAGAACACGGCCAAACAAATTCATTTGGCGCGCGGTGGACGAGACTTAAGGACGCGCCGATTATTATTATTATCATCGCTCGCAAACGGCGCTTTCCCCAACAGCCTGTGAAAGGTTACACGGGGCCGGGGGGGGGGGGGGGGGTGGCGATCTTCGTCGTTGTCAACATTTATTCGTTTATAATGACCGAAATTAGAAAGCACTCACCCCAAGCAAATGTGCAGCCCAAGGGACTTGCAGGACACGGGCCGAGGCCTCCTGTCGGCGTGAAAAGGCCTCCACGGTGATCGGTCGGGAGGCGAGGGATTGACGGGATCGGAGGAGAGGTTCTTCAGGGAGGATGTGGGGGATTGTCTGGAGGAAAGAGAGGGGTGGACAGACGCTTCGAGAGCGGGGGACCGAGCGGGGCGACAGGGGGGGGAGAGCGCGAGAGCTTCGGGAGAAGAGGCCGGGCCTAGGGTTGGTGCTGCGCCACGGGCGTCGGAGTCATCGCACATTTCAAAACACGGAACGCGCTCCGTGAGTGACGACGACGGCGATGACGATGACGACGACGGCGATAACGTGCGGTCGAGTCCACGACGCCTCGGGGTCACCTTCTCTCTCCACTTCTCTCTCTCTCTGCAGGGCATCCCGGGCTTGAAAGGAGACCAGGGCCCGGCAGGGCCGCCGGGACCCACGGTGAGACCCTCTCCTACCTCCTCCTACTCCTACGTTCATCGCGTCTCCGCAAATCCCTCGTTTGTCTCACATAGAGGCGCATAGACTCGCATAGAGACCCGTAGACTCGCATAGAGACCGTAGACTCACATAGAGACCCATAGACTCACATAGAGACGCATAGACTCACAACAGAGACCCATAGACTCGCATAGAGACCCGTAGACTCACATAGAGACCCGTAGACTCAAACAGAGACCCGTAGACTCACACAGAGACCCATAGACTCAAAAAGAGTCCCATAGACTCACATAGAGACCCATAGACTCGCATAGAGACCGGTAGACTCGCACAGAGACCCGTAGACTCAAACAGAGACCCGTAGACTCACACAGAGACCCATAGACTCACATAGAGACGCATAGACTCGCATAGAGACCCGTAGACTCACACAGAGACCGGTAGACTCACATAGAGACGCATAGACTCGCATAGAGACCCGTAGACTCACACAGAGACCCGTAGACTCAAACAGAGACCCATAGACTCACATAGAGATGCATAGACTCGCATAGAAAGCCGTAGACTCACAGGGACGCATAGACTCACATAGAGACCCATAGACTCACAGTCACATAATCACTTTAAGATGTTTTCTTGTTCATGTTTTTTGTTTGTTGTGGTTGCACCCGATTCAAGAGCCAAATGGCTCACAGGGCTATACCAAATAAATGAACTATGAACTATGAACATAGAGAACTATAGTCTCACATAGAGACCCATAGATTCGCAGAGAGACCCATATATTCACATGGAGACCCATAGACTCACATAGAGACCCATAGACTCACCTAGAGACCGATAGACTCATATAGAGTTCCATAGACTCACCTAGAGACCGATAGACTCATATAGAGTCCCATAGACTCACACAGAGACCCACAGACTCTCGCAAGAGACCGAGTTGTGGTGTAGCAGGAAGAGTCCACCAACTCGCGCCGAGCGAGACATTTCAGAGGGCTTCTCGTTGCCGTAACTCGCAGGCCGCGAAGGGGGAAAAAAACCACGTGACTCGAACTCCCCCCCCCCCCCCCCCCCCCCCCACCACCACCCCCACCACCAAGCCTGAGGCGTCACAGGTGCGGTGAGCGACCTTCTTGCTGTGCTGCCCACAAAAACGTCATCCTCGGTTGGCACCAACGCAGCACCCGGCGATCTCTGCGCGATCCGCCAACCCATCCTGCCCCGAGATGTTCCCGTCCTTATTTTTTTTTTAAGTCACAATCTCGTACTCCCCTTGACCCCACCCTCCCCTTCACCCCCTCCCCTTCACCCCCCTCCCCTTGACCCCCCTCACCTTGACCCCCTCCCCTTCACCCCCCTCCCCTTGACCCCCCTCCCCTTGACCCCCCTCCCCTTCACCCCCTTCACCCCCCTCCCCTTGACCCCCCTCCCCTTCACCCCCCTCCCCTTCACCCCCCTCCCCTTCACCCCCTCCCCTTCACCCCCTCCCCTTCACCCCCTCCCCTTCACCCCTTCCCCTTCACCCCCCTCCCCTTCACCCCCCTCCCCTTCCTCCCTTTCCTCCCCCGCCCCTTCCTCCCCTTCCCGCCCCCCCCCACTCCTCCCCCCATCCCCCTCCCCTTCCTCCCCCGCCCCCTCCCCTTCCTCCCCCCTCCCCTTCCCACCCTCCCCTTCCCCTCCCCTTCCTCCCCTTTCTCCTGGCCCCCTTCACTCCCCCCTCCCCGCTCCGCTCCCTCCGCCCACCGACTCCCGCAGGGCTCCCTGGGAGACCGTGGCCCCGCGGGGGCCGCAGGGCCCATCGGCCTTCCCGGCCGCCCCGGGCCACCAGGGCCTCTGGGAGCCACCGGCGAGAAGGGCAACGCGGTGAGTGGCGTCGTCCGTACGTACGTCCGTAGCGGAGGAGGAGGAGGAGGGGGGGGGGTGCCGTAGGGCTCGTGAAGATCATCCGATGCGGATGGACATTTCGTGTAGGGTGGAGTTTGCTGGTAGGGGCTCAGCCTAGGGGCTACCGGGACCCATCGATCAACGGCTTCCGTGTGGTTTGCTCCGTGTGTCCGTGTGTGTCACACCGCAGGGCGCGGGAACTCCCGGAGAGATGATCCGATACGAGCGGGACTTTAGTCTATCCTCCTGTGTGTCCATCTGTTTGTGTGTCCGTCTGTCTGTGTGTCCATCTGTCTGTGTGTCCGTCTGTCTGTGTGTCCGTCTGTCTGTGTTTCCATCTGTCTGTGTGTCCATCTGTCTGTGTGTCCATCTGTCTGTACGTCCATCTGTCTGTGTGTCCATCTGTCTGTGTGTCCATCTGTCTGTATGTCCATCTGTCTGTCCATCTGTCTGTCTGTCCATCTGTCTGTACGTCCATCTGTATGTCCATCTGTCTGTCTGTCCATCTGTCTGTCTGTGCATCTGTCTGTGTGTCCATCTGTCTGTGTGTCCATCTGTCTGTGTGTCCATCTGTCTGTGTGTCCATCTGTCTGTCCATCTCTCTGTACGTCCATCTGTCTGTCCATCTGTCTGTGTGTCCATCTGTCTGTATGTCCATCTGTCTGTATGTCCATCTGTCTGTGTGGCCATCTGTCTGTCTATCCATCTGTATGTCCATCTGTCTGTCTGTTCATCTGTCTGTGTGTCCATCTGTCTGTCTGTCCATCTGTCTGTCTGTCCATCTATCTTTCTGTCCATCTGTCTGTCTGTCCATCTGTCTGTCTGTCCATCTGTCTGTCCATCTGTCTCTCTGTCCATCTGTCTGTGTTTCCATCTGTCCGTCTCTCTGTCCATCTGTCTGTCCATCTGTCTGTCTGTCCATCTGTCTGTCTGTCCATCTGTCTGTACGTCCATCTGTCTGTATGTCCATCTATCTGTGTTTCCATCTGTCTGTATGTCCATCTGTCTGTCTGTCCATTTATCTGTGTGTCCATCCGTATGTATGTCCATCTATCTGTCTGTCCATCTGTCTGTATGTCCATCTGTCCATCTATCCAATGGGATGGAACCAGGATGAAACCCATACAGAACAGCTGATTGGATGTTGTTCAGAATCAGAATTAGAATGTTCCCTTATACTGGAGGAATCCGATGAGCTATTAAGCTCTTTGCCACAGATGCCCAGAAGGGGCACGGGGTTATAACGTTACAACAACAAACACAGTACAACAACACGATAGCAGTGCAAGGTAAAATGCAAGTAAACAAATAAAACTAAACCATCCCCATCCTACCAGGCAAAGCCCAATGAGGTGTTAACTTACTTTTCAGAAGCGGCCTGCCAACCACCACCACCACCGATGATAGCTCAACGAAAGTGGCCCCATCATTTGGACACTTTTGTAGCAGCAGCAGCAGCAGCAGCAGCAAAATCATCTCAGTAATCTGAATGCAAGTCCAACACTCTGCCGTTATACCGTTAGCCTGACGGTGGTGGTAGCTACGCTGCTGCTACTGCTGCTCATGGCTGCGGCCTGTAATGATCCAGCGCTGTGTGTGTGGAGGCATCAGCGAGGGGTTAGTGGATCACCGCAAGCGCAGATGTTGTGTGACAACCTCCCTCCCTTCACGTGGGCGTCGCGGAGGGCGAAGTGCAGACTCCACCTGCTCTGTCTGTGTGGGATCGAGTGTTTCCCCCTCGCGCGCGCGGGTTTTCTCCGGCTGCTCCGTTTTCTGTTTGACATCTTCTAAATCTGCGTCGTGTCACGGGATTGTTCTCTGAGAGACACAGGCATCATCTGTGTGTGTGTGTGTGTTTGTCTTTGTGTGTTGACTGTGCGTTTTTGCATGTGTGCGTATTTGTTGGAGGGCAGAGGTGAGCACAGATGATGGTGATGACGATAATGATGACGATGACAATGATGACGATGATGTTGATGATGACGACGACGATGATGATGGCAACGATGATGATGCTGATGATGACAAGGATGATGATGATGACGGCGATGATGATGATGTCGACCGCAGGGTGATAAGGGGCAGCTGGGCCCTGTGGGACGCGATGGGATTCAAGGGATCATCGGACTGCCAGGCCCCGCGGGCCCTGTCGGGGCCCAGGGGGAGGATGGGGACAAGGTTATATGAACACTCATTCCCTCACTCATTCACTCACCCATTCACTCACCAATTCACTCATTCGTTCACTCATCCATTCATTGATGCGCTCATTCAATTACTCATTGATACTCTCACCCACACGATCAATCATCTACTCATGAAAGCATTTGTACATTTGCTCATTCAGTCGCTCGTCCATTCACTCATTCGGTCAGTCATTCAATCATCCATTCACTGATTCATTTACTCAGCCATTCACGCATCCATTCCCTCATTCAGTCGCTCATTCAGTCACTCATGCATTCAATCATTCAGCTGCTCATTCATTCATGCATTCAATTACTCACTCATCCTGTCACCCGTTCAATCAATCATTTGCTCATTAATGCATTCATCCATTCACTCATTCAGTCACTCCTCCATTCACTCATCCTTTCACTCAATCAGTCACTCATCCATTCGCTCATTCAGTCACTCAGCCATTCACTCATTCAGTCACTCAGCCATTCACTCATTCAGTCACTCAGCCATTTACTCATTCAGCTGCTCATTCAATTACTCACTCATGCTCTCACCCGTTCGATCAATAATTTGCTCATTAATCCATTCACTCATTCAGTCGTTCCTCCATACACACATCTCACCACTCACGCATTCGCTCGCCCATTCATTCACCCGCTCGTCCACACGTTGGCCCGTCCGCCCGCTCGCCCGCTCACTCGCCAGTGACGTTTGTGCGTGCCCCCCCCACCCCCACCCCCCAGGGCGAGATCGGTGAGCACGGGCAGAAGGGGAGCAAGGGTGACAAGGGCGAGTCGGTGAGTCGTCCGTACCGCGACGAGTCGTCGTCCCCCCCCCACCCCGTCGCTCGCTCGTACGCACGGATAAAAATCCCCCCACCCCGTGCAGTCGTAACGGGCTGTTGGGGGCAAGCGCTGTTAGCGAGCAGCAGCAGCAGCAGCTACGGAGGCCGGCAAAGAACGCGAGGGGGCGGCCGGGCGGGCGGGCGGGCTGCGCCACATACGCCCTTCTTCGTCCCTCGCCGGTGCCGCTGATTTAGACGGCGCAAGCCAGGCTCGCTCCGAACCATCAGCGGAACGGAATTGCCTTCTTTGGTTCTTTTGGTAAAGTCACGTAGAATGATAATAAAATAATAAATTGATAAAATAAAATAACACAATAATATTCTCACGACGTTTCGGCCACAACACAAGCGGCCTTCATCAGGTGAAGGGGGGCGAGACTGTCTGGTAGGACAGCGCTGGAGTGAAAGAGCCACGTTCAGATACGGCCTTTTAAGCTGTGTGAGAGGAACAAAGCGCCTTGACAAAGGAATTAGCATATAATTTAGCATTGAAATGGCTGAATGATTAGCTTGTGACTGGTCACAGAAATAGCTATGTTAAAAGTTAAAGCATACACACCCGCAGAGGCACCCATTGTTAAATGAATTAGCATAGAATTTAGCATTGAAATAGCTAAGTTAAGGCATACACATCTTGACAATGGAATTAGCATAGAATTTAGCATTAAGATAGCTGGGTGATTAGCTTGTAGCTGCTGCAGAAATAGAGCTTGTACCTGCTGCAGAAATAGCTACGTTAAAGTCAGAGCATACACAATCACCGAGGCCCTTAGGAATTGCCTTACGGGCCGTTAGGTGGGGCCGCAGCGAGCGCGGCCGCTGTCGCCCTCCGGCCGGACTGAGCGGTATGAAGCCGCGGATACTCCCGGAGCTGTCGAACGGCGCCCAGGATTAAAACCTGGACGTATGATTAGCGCGCGCGCTTGCCACATGCTAGAAGAGGAAGATGACGAGGACGATGACGAAGATGAAGACTCCACAACCGGACTGATGGATGATGATGATGATGATGGTGATGATGATATTGTTGTTGTCCATTATTGTAATGATGATGATGATTGTGACGTTGACTGTGACGACGACGATGATGGTGATCGACGATTTTCTACGTTTACTGTGTGCGACAGCGAGATGCACAGTGACAGTACCACTAACGACGACGATGATAATGACAATGACAACGATGATAATGACGACAATGACGATGATGACGATGATGATGACAATGACGAAGACAATGCCGACGACAATGACGACGACGATCATAAAGACAATGACGACGACGATGATAACGACAATCTTCTTTGGTTCTTTCGGTAAAGTCACGTAGAATGAGAATAAAATAATAAATTGATTAAATAAAATAACACAATAATATTTTATTTTATCAATTTATTATTTTATTCTCATTCTACGTGACTTTACCGAAAGAACCAAAGAAGATGAATCCTTGCAGTCACGAAAGCTTTAAATCGAAAGATAACGACAATGACGACGACAATGAAGACGACAATGATAATGACAATGACGACAATGATGATGATAACGACAATGACGACGGCGATGACAACGAAAATGACGATAATAATGACAATGACGACGATGACGACATCGATGATAATGACAATGACGACGACGATAACGACAATGACGACGACCATGATAACGACAATGACGATAATAATGACAATGACGACGATGACGACATCGATGATAATGACAATGACGACGACGACGATGATAATGACAATGACGACGATGATGATAACGACAATGACTACGACCATGATAATGAAAATGACGACGACAACAATGATGATAACAACGACGACAATGACGACGACGACCATGATAATGAAAATGATGACGACGACGACGATGAAACTTGACGGTAAACATTCAACGCGGTTTTTGTTGTTGTTTTCTCGATGTTGCTGCCCACCAGGGACCTGTTGGACCCCCTGGGATTCAAGGCCAGATAGGACAGCCAGGGCCCCTTGTGAGTCACACGCACACACTCACAACCACAGCACTTGTGCCAGTCTAGGTGCACATTTGACCCTCCCCCCCCCATGGCCAGATCATCAGGCGTCCTCGCAGCCATCGATTGGGGAATCGTTCCGCATTGTTCATCCTGCTCATGGGTAAACATCATCAGATGTGCTGCGACCACAACAATAGTAATAGCGGCGTCCACTCACAATGTCCGCCCACCGCACGGCGTTCGCTCGCGCTCGTAGGCACAAGGTGGAAACCCACGCATGTGAGGCAGAGAGAGGGAGAGAGTGGGGGCAACGCTCGATCCCCCCCCTCCCGCCGTAGAGTCGGGGAATGGGAGAGAGAGCGGAGAGTCAGAGAGGACGGAGACTGCCGAGGCGACGGAACGAATTTGGGGAACTCACGTCATCGTTATTTTTATACACGCATACACACATACACACGGACACACACAACAACAACCGCCATTCGCCACTAAGTGGCGGTGATGTCACCACGACGCTTGTGCCAGGCCATGTGCACCTTGAGGCCACGTGAAGTGTCGAACACCTGCTGGCAGGAGGTCACGGGGCAGACCCAGGTGCCACGGGTCGACTGACCGAGATGACTGGCTGATGCACCACCTGTGCCCCCGACTGTGCCAACCTGCTGTGCCTTAGTCACCCGGCGCTCCGCTCATTGTTGTGAGCGTCACTCCTCCGCCCTCCGTTGTTGTTGGAGGGCGACAGCCTCCAACTGCCCAGTAGCGTCCTTCACGAGCCTCCTCCACAGAGGCCGATCTTGACACCGCTGGTACCAGTCATCGGCAAGTCCACTCAGCTCCATGTCCTCCTGTACCACATCACTCAATCTCTTGTCTACCCCGTGCCGCGCCCGTTTAATCCCCTCGATCCGGCCGAACAAAAGCTGTTTCGTCATGCGGTGGTTGGGTATGCGGGCTACATGACCCAGCCAACGCAGCCTTGCCTGCCAGAGGAGCTCACCGATGGGATCTTTCCCAGATCTTTCAAGGATTTGTGAGCTCCTCACACAATCCAGCCTGGTTAAACCCAAAATGGATTGTAGGCAGGCTAGACTGTGGCCGAGAAGACCTGAAGCTTAGTGTGGAGCGACAGACCAGGTAGCTTCCACACAGCATTACGCAACCGATGAAAATATATTGCCGCTCGACTTATTCGGAATGAGACCTTTGCTGTTAAACTGGAACCGGTCATAAGCACACTGCCCAGGTATGGGAAACACTCCACTCTCTCCACAACTGCCTCATCTCCGATTGGGAGTTGTGGGGGTGGAGTGTCCGATGGTACAAAATACCCAGGCAGGTGCTTAGTTTTGGTGGGGCTGATGGTAAGGCCCCATCTCTTAGTGGCACGCTCCAGTCTCAGTAGCTATTACCAAATCATCGGCATACATAACGTGGTTGAGCAATAGGGAGCCATCCCTTGACCGCACCTGGGCATCGATCAGCCTCCCATTATATCTGTACCATATGGAGATTCCCCCGGTACAGCTATTGAAGCCTTCACAAACTACGTGGTCAAAATAGATGTTAAATAATGTGGGAGCCAGAGGACATCCCTGTCGCACGCCAAGGTTTACAGGGAATGGCTCTGACTCCCGGCCACGTAGTTTTACCCGGGCCCGCTCACCATCATGAAGGTCCTTAATGATCGTGAGCAGAGGGTTAGGGACTCCAAAAGCACGAAGAACAACCCAGAGCCCAGGCCTACTGATGTTATCATAGGCCTTGACCAGGTCAATAAAGCAGAGATATAGGTCTTGCTGGAATTCCCTACACCTCTGCTGTAGCAGACGAACAGAAAATATGGCATCTGTGCAGGACCACCCTTTCCTGAAACCGCATTGGGGCTCCGCAAGCCTCGCCTCAGCGTGCCTGGCAAGGCGATGTTGAATAATCCTTGCTAGAACCTTTCCCGGCACACTGAGGAGTAAGATGCCCCTATAGTTGTTACAGTCTGTGCGGTCCCCCTTCTTAACGAGGAGGACCAATAGGGCATCCTTCCAATCCTGCGGAACCCGTCCAGTGGTCCAGACTGTTGTTATGATGTCATATAGGGCAGTCTGTGCACAACGCCACCCTCCCTCAGCATTTCGCTTGGGAGATCATCTCTGCCCGGTGCCTTTCCTGGTCTCAGACACCGGATCGCCTTCAGTACTTCCTCAACAGATGGCACCTCAGCCAGCCACTCACAGGGGGTGACTTCTTCCAATATTTGAGTCACCGCAGCCTCAGCAGAGTCATCCCCACTTTGTGCCACGATGTTTTCCTGGCTGAGGGATTTTCCTTCCCCCAGGACCTCACAGAAATGCTCAGCAAATCTGCAAACCTGTTCCTGCGGGTCGGAGATTGGATCACCGTTTTTCCCCTAATGATGGTAATAGGTGTGGCGCTGCAGGTTACTTTTTGGATGGAGTTAAATAGAGATTTGTGATCGTGGGCCACTGAGGCAGACTCCATCTCCTCAGTAACCCACGACCACCACCCATCCTTGCAGCGCCTCACGGCTCTCCAAACCTCCGAGCGAAGGCTGCGGTAAGCCTCCTCATTCTCTGACGTGGGATTCTGTAGCCGATGACAGTGGGCCTGTCGCTTTTTCTCAACTATCCTGAACACCTCCTCCATGAGCCAGGGTCTCTGGGGAGGTCTGGACCGCATACCCAAATCAGCCATTGCAGCTGCATGAGTGCCAACCCCAGTCGCAAACGATTATGAAATTCTCGCTTGCAACTTTCATCAGATAACTGAGACCAGGCCACTTTAGGTAGGAATGGGGTCCTGGGTGTACACCCACCACCGGAGTGGAAGAATGGCAGGCGCATCTTACAGATGACTAGTCGATGGTCAGAGGGCAGATCAGCTCCACGGTTGGTCCTGATGTCAAGGACATGGGCTCGCATCCGCTGATCTGTCACTCTGTAGTCCAGCAGATGTTCTTGCTTGGACCCGGCATGCATCCATGATGTTGTGTGGATGCGCCAATGCCGGACCAGCGTGTTGGTAATTACAAGCCCATAGGCTGCACAAAAATCTAGCAGCCTCCTTCCGTTGTTATTGAGCTGATCTGGCCCATGTCCTCCAATCAATCCAGACCAGGTGCCAGCATCATGACCAACTCGGACATTGAAGTCACCCAACAAGATGACTCTATCCCGAGGGGCCACTTTAGCCAGCACCTGTGACAGGGGGTCATATAAGGCATCTGACTCATCGGCTTTGCCTGCATCCCTCCACGGATGTTCGTCTTCGGTGGGGGCATAAGTAAACACGACCTACACTCCTCGCCTCCGGTTGATGAGAAGGCGAGCCCAAAGCAGCCTGGGGCTTACAGCTTCCCACACCTCACCGCCACGCTCCCACGCCCCCTTCATTCTTTTGTTCAAAAGAAGAGCCACACCCTGTTGCTTGGCAGTCACACACATACACACATACACATGGACACACACATACACACACACACACGGACACACGCACACAATAACAACAACCGGCATTCACCACTAAGTGGCGGTGACGTCGCCACGGCGCTTGTGCCAGGCTATGTGCACGTTGAGGCCACGTGAAGTGTCGAACGCCCGCCGGCAGGAGGCCGCGGGGCAGACCCAGCAGGTGCCACGGATCGACTGACTCGGGTGACTGGCCGATGCACCGCCCGTGCCCCCTACTGTGCCAGCTCGTTTTACACGCGCGCACACGCGCACACGCGTACACACCAAGCACTCGGTGGGCTTGGGCAGGACGCGTCGCGACCCGACGGGGTTGAGGAAGACGACGACCGACGGTCGGTCGGTTGAGAATAACAGCGGCGTTGAGCGGCAGCCAAGCGCGGAGTTGAGCGGTACGTGCCGCGGGGAGGGTGGGGGTGGAGCAGTCGGCTCGTTCTACATCGCCTGGGAGAGGCGGTGATAAGAGGAGGGGAGGGGGGGGGGGTCACGTTCGGTGGTGGATCGGCCCCTGGCCGACGTCGACACCGGAACGCTTCGGAGGAGGCCGCGATCCAATTGGCTGGTGGTGATGGTGGAGGCGTCGGGGGGAGGGTGGGGGTTGGGGGTGGCGGGGTGGGGGGGTGGGGGGGTGGGGGAATGGGGGGATGGGAGGGTGGGGGAATTGGGGGTGGGGGGGGAGACCTCCATCCAGCAGTGGATCGACCTTGGCTCGTGGTCATGTTGGAACCTTGGGGGGGGGGGGGGTGGCAGTTGGGAGGACCTCCATCCAGGCCGTGGGATAGAACCAATGGCTGCATTGCCCCCTGTGGTTCCGTTAACCGCTTCTTCTTCTTCTGCTTCCTCTTCGCAGGGTCCCGACGGGGAGCCCGGTTTGAGGGGGCCCCAGGGCCCATTTGGACAGAAAGGGGATGAGGGGCCCAGGGGATACACAGGCCCACCGGGCCCTGCTGGCCTTCAGGTGAGGGGCCTGCATCATAATCACGCGCGTGGTTCGTGTGTGTGTGTGTATACGTGCGTGTGTGTGTGTATACGTGTCTGTGTGTGTGTGTCTGTGTGTGTGAGGAGTGGTAGTGTTGCGGTTAGCGCTGCGCTGCGCTAAGAACCCCGCGACCCGAGTGCGATTCTCGCTCATGGCCAACACCGGTGACGATTATCTGAAGCGGTTGTGGGTCTCCCATAGGTCGACTCGGCCTCAACTGAGTATCTGGTGCGGTGTGTAAACATCGCCACTGGGGAGACAAAGGCGGCCAGGAGTGGTGCTGGCCCCCCACCCCCTCGTGTGCTGTTCTGGCCTTCATAGGTGCTCGCTAACAGCACTTGCCCCTACAGTATGTTAAGGTTATACGGGGGATTTGTGTCTTCGTTTGCCTTTGTGTGCATGTGTGTGTGTGTGTGCGCACATACCGATATACAGGAAACACAAACGTACGGGCAAATATCCAGGCGTCAGGAAGTCGGGATCGAACCCAACGGCCTAGTGTCCAGGAGGTCGTGGGGTCGATCCCGACCCTGACGCCCGTACATTTCGAGTTTTGCGTGTCTCTTTCTCCCCGTGCTCCCGTGGATCTTCATCCTGATCTTCCGGTGTTAAGAAACAATGTGCGTTTGGAGTATTTGGCTACTGCTATAAATTTCGACGTGATAGGCCATTTCGTTGGGCTATCATTTGTGGCCAGGCCGCTTCTGAAAATAGAGCTACATAGTTCAGTGGGCCTTATCTGGTAAAACCAAATAATAGTTCTAGTTTTTAGTTTGTAGAAATTAGCGAATTTAGTAAATGTGGCCCTTGACGTGGGTACGCCGTTGTCCCCCCTCCCCATCTTGAGAACGATGTCACGGCATTCCCGTAGCTGCCAACCCCTTATCAGTGCCCTAACCTATTACAAACCAATTCAGACACCTTATTGGTCACCCCGTGCCCCTTATGAATCTCAACGTTCATCCTACAGTCCCGTCACAAGGGAGAAACGCAAAAAAATTAACACAATGATCTTACTAAACTTTTTTACATATTAATTTTGGTAATTGGTGTCTATGATGCTACTTATCATGCTATACTGTCTGTGATCTTGTATGCTGATGCTGCCGCTTGCTTGATATGTGGATGCACACACTCACATACCTGCCAACCCCTTATCAGTGCCCTACCTTATTACAGAGCAATTCAGACCTTAATGGTCACGCCGTGCCCCTTATAAATCTCAACGTTCATCCTACAAAGTTCCGTCACAAGGGAGAAACGCAAACAAATAGACACTTAAAAAATGTGTTGCCCGCATTCAAACGGCTGTCCGCCGTATGGACCTGAAATCTCTAGTCCCTGACTTTAGGAACGGGGTCCGTTTCTGAGACCCCACCCACCCGCTCGTTAAGTCGGAACGTGATAACGCTCTGTGTTTAAATGCGCGTGCGGTCGACGTTGCTAAAATGCGTCACAGTTCAACGAAGGAAGGGGCGTGTCATTTTGAAACTCGTAACTAAGAATAAATATCGCACGTGTTGGTCACGTTCGCTGGTCGGATGGTTGAAAAAAAAGTCAATGTATCTCCTGGAATCTCGTTCATAAGTGCGGACGTTCATAAGTCAGGGCATCCGTAAAGATGCTAACTGCCTGTGCACATATACGGGTGTATCTTTAAACCTCTGTAGGACTGGTAACGCCGGGCACTTTTTTCCCGAACCAGTGCCCACAGTTGCCCAAGCTCTGTGGTCCTCCACCTTGCTGGAGCTCCCCTCTAGTTGTAGGTCCTTCGGCAAGCGGTGGCACGAGCCAGCAATTGCTTGGCCGCGCCTTTACCTTCAAGATATGTGTAAAGAAGAATTGACACACTTTTCTTGAGATGGCGCTTTGTTGAAGACACGTTCACTTGACACAGGCGGAGACCCCCACTGCAACAGCACCGAGTCTCGCCCGCATCTTTCTTATATTCGGTCCGAGGCCACGCCGCCCTTCTCGATCATTCTCGCTGACTCTGGCCGCTCGGTACACCAGCAAACTCCACCGTCCTCTTCCGTCACCTGACCATGCTCCTTTCCCGATCATTCCCGTAGCCACCAGTCCCTTCGCACTCACAGCTGACTCCCCTGTCATTACCTCCCGTGGCCACCAGTCCCTTTGCACTCACAGCTGACTCCCCTGTCATTACCTCCCGTGGCCACCAGTCCCTTCGCACTCACAGCTGACTCCCCTGTCATTACCTCCCGTGGCCACCAGTCCCTTCGCACTCACAGCGGACTCCCCTGTCATTACCTCCCGTGGCTACCAGTTCCTTCGCACTCACAGCTGACTCCCCTGTCATTACCTCCCGTGGCCACCAGTCCCTTCGCACTCGCGACTGACTCCCCTGTCATTACCTCCCGTGGCCACCAGTTCCTTCACACTCACAGCTGACTCCGTTGTCATTGCCTCCAATGGCCACCAGTCCCTTCGCACTCACAGCTGACTCCCCTGTCATTACCTCCCGTGGCCACCAGTCCCTTCGCACTCACAGCTGACTCCGCTGTCATTACCTCCCGTGGCCACCAGTCCCTTCGCACTCACAGCTGACTCCCCTGTCATTACCTCCCGTGGCCACCAGTCCCTTCGCACTCACAGCTGACTCCCCTGTCATTACCTCCCGTGGCCACCAGTCCCTTCGCACTCACAGCTGACTCCCCTGTCATTACCTCCCGTGGCCACCAGTCCCTTCGCACTCACAGCTGACTCCCCTGTCATTACCTCCCGTGGCCACCAGTCCCTTCGCACTCACAGCTGACTCTCCTGTCATTACCTCCCGTGGCCGCCAGTCCCTTCGCACTCACAGCTGACTCCCCTGTCATTACCTCCCGTGGCCACCAGTCCCTTCGCACTCACAGCTGACTCCCCTGTCATTACCTCCCGTGGCCACCAGTCCCTTCGCACTCACAGCTGACTCCCCTGTAATTACCTCCCTTGGCCACCAGTCCCTTCGCGCTCACAGCGGTTCTTGTCGTCGTCGTTGTTGTTGTCGTTTGTTGTTGTCGTTGTTGTCGCTGTTGTTGTGTCTGTATGCCCCGACAGCCTGCGCTGCGTGGGCTATACCGGCGGAGGGTTGGTGGCGAATCCTCGCCGCGGTTGTAATTGGCGCATTTCTGCCGGTCGCCCCCCCCCCCCCCCGTGTGTGTCTCATCAGGGGTTGCCGGGAACGCCGGGCGACAAGGGCGACAACGGCGACGTGGGGTCCCTGGTGAGACGTCGCGAAAGACGCCGAGCCCCTCGCGGCAGAGCGAGAGACAGGGCGAGCGAGAGACAGAGTGAGAGAGAGACAGAGCGAGAGACAGAGTGAGCGAGACAGAGACAGAGCGAGAGAGAAAGAGCGAGAGAGACAGCGAGAGAGAGAGACAGAGCGAGAGACAGGGCGAGCGAGAGACAGAGACAGAGCGAGAGACAGGGCGAGCGAGAGACAGAATGAGAGAGAGACAGAGCGAGAGACAGGGCGAGCGAGAGACAGAGACAGAGTGAGAGACAGAATGAGCGAGACAGAGACAGAGCGAGAGACAGAGTGAGAGAGAGACAGAGCGAGAGACAGGGCGAGCGAGAGAGAGAGTGAGAGAGAGACAGAGCGAGAGACAGGGCGAGTGATAGACAGAGTGAGAGAGAGAGACAGAGCGAGAGACAGGGCGAGCGAGAGACAGAGTGAGAGAGAGACAGAGCGAGAGACAGAGCGAGCGAGAGACAGAGTGAGAGAGACACAGAGCGAGAGACAGGGCGAGCGAGAGACAGAGTTAGAGAGAGACAGAGCGAGAGACAGGGCGAGCGAGAGACTGAGAGAGAGACAGGGCGAGCGAGAGACAGAGTGAGAGAGAGAGCGAGAGACAGGGCGAGCGAGAGACAGAGTGAGAGAGAGACAGAGCGAGAGACAGAGTGAGAGAGACAGAGCGAGAGACAGAGTGAGCGAGAGACAGAGACAGAGCGAGAGACAGAGTGAGAGAGAGACAGAGCGAGAGACAGAGCGAGAGACAGAGCGAGCGACAGAGTGAGCGAGACAGAGCGAGAGACAGAGCGAGAGACAGAGACAGAGCGAGAGACAGAGTGAGAGACAGAGCGAGAGAGACAGAGTGAGAGACAGAGCGAGAGAGACAGAGACAGAGCGAGAGAGACAGAGTGAGCGAGACAGAGACAGAGCGAAAGAGACAGAGCGAGAGAGACAGAGCGAGAGAGACAGAGACAGAGCGAGAGACAGAGCGAGAGACAGAGCGAGAGACAGAGTGAGCGAGACAGAGACAGAGCGAGAGACAGAGCGAGAGAGACAGAGACAAAGCGAGAGAGACAGAGTGAGAGGCAGAGCGAGAGACAGAGCGAGAGACAGAGACAAAGCGAGAGAGACAGAGAGTGAGAGACAGAGAGTGAGAGACAGAGAGTGAGAGACAGAGCGAGAGACAGAGCGAGAGACAGAGTGAGAGACAGAAACAAAGCGAGAGAGACAGAGCGAGAGAGACAGAGAGCGAGAGACAGAGTGAGAGACAGAGACAAAGTGAGAGAGACAGAGACAAAGCGAGAGAGACAGAGACAAAGCGAGAGACAGAGCGAGAGACAGAGACAAAGTGAGAGTGACAGAGACAAAGTGAGAGAGACAGAGAGCGAGAGGGACAGAGAGCGAGAGGGATCTAGATTTATGCTCTCTGCCTACGGGAAAGTTTTTGAAACCATGCCTCCAATTCCACCCCGCAGGCTCCCTCCCTCCTCCGCACAGCTCGGCGAAGAAGTGACCCATTATTGAAGCCGATGTTCCCACAATGATGTCGTGGTTAAACTCAACTATTCTTTGTTTTATTATACCAGGTATGGCCCACTTGAGCTAAGTAGCTCTGTTTTCGGAAGCCACCTGGCCACAGATGATAGCTCAACGAAGTTGCTCATCATCATCATCATCGTGTGGAAATTTAGAGAAGCAGCCAAAAATTCTTAATTGCGTGATTTTGATTCTAAATGTGGATGGAATATCCACCAACCACGGGGAGATAACCATGCAAAAGCCACATAGACAGCAGGCGTCAGGGTCAGGATCGAACCCACGACCTCCTGTACACCAGGCGAGGTAGTTAACATCTTGCCTTGGTTAGCGGTGCCTGGCTTGCGACCCAGAGGTTACCGGTTCGGTTTCAACTCCTGGCGTGGAAGTTTACCCACAGGGGGCAGTGAGTTTCTTAAAATCCACCCCGTCTCCCTCACTCACTCTCATCCCCATCACTCCGGGCCTGTGTCCACCCAGCGGCGTAAATAGGTCACAAGCGCCGTCAGCCGGTGGGCAGGGTCGCGTGCTGTGCGGTGAAGTGTGGTTTGCTCCCACGCCCTCCAAGATGTATGACCAGCATGGAAGAGAAGGCCAAAGTACGCCCGTCTAGATGGGGCTCTCGCGAGCGAGCTCTCCGGTAGAGACGCCAACTGCCAGCAGTCGGAGCCGATGATGATGATGATGATTACGAGTGATGATGATGGTTTAATGATGATGATGATATTAGCCTTTGGAGATAATCAGGATGACAATGATGCTGATGTTTTACCTCGCCAACCGTGCTAATCGGAGGTGCTCATGACGGATAATTTGCATCCATTGTGACTGCTGATGAGTGTGCTTCTGGTGATGAATTTGCTGTGCTGACGATGACGACGATGGTAATTTGACGTTGCTGATGATGACGGGGATAACGATGCTGCTGCTGCTGATGATGACAATAACCATGATGACACCGCTGATTACGATGATGACGATGATGACGACGACCGTAGCGATGATGATGATGATGATGGCAATGATGATGATGGCCGCGGTGACTCGCGTCTCATTTGACAGGGTCCACCCGGCCCCCCGGGAAACCGAGGCCCCCCAGGATCGCAAGGTGCCGACGTAAGAGACCCCCCCCCCCCCACCCCGAAGCGTCGTTCACGCTCGCCCGCCCGCCCGCCCTCCCCGGCCGCGGTTTCACCTCCCACGGCCTCTCTCGTCGGAGGCCTTCATCCAGCAGTGGATCGGCCACGGCTGGATGACGATGAAGGCGCTCGACAGGCGTTCGGCGTTGCATTCCGTGCGAGGCTTGGCTGGGGGTGTGCGGGGCCATAACGAGGTCTAATATGGAGTAGTAGTAGTAGTTGTCCTAGTAGTAGTAGTCGTAGTAGTAGTAGTGGAAGTAGTCCTAGTAGTAGTGGTAGTAGTAGTAGTAGTGGTAGTCCTAGTAGTAGTGGTAGTAGTAGTGGTAGTAGTAGTAGTCCTTGTAGTAGTGGTAGTAGTCTTAGTAGTGGTAGTAAGTAGTAATAGTCCTAGTAGTAGTGGTAGTAGTGGTAGTAGTCCTAGTAGTAGTGGTAATAGTGGTAGTAGTGGTAGTAGTAGTAGTGGTAGTAGTAGCAGTAGTAGTGGTAGTAGTCCTAGTAGTAGTGGTAGTAGTCCTAGTAGTAGTGGTAGTAGTCCTAGTAGTAGTGGTAGTAGTGGTAGTAGTAGTAGTCCTTGTAGTAGTGGTAGTAGTCCTAGTGGTAGTAGTGGTAGTCCTAGTAGTAGTCCTTGTAGTAGTGGTAGTAGTAGTCGTAGTAGTGGAAGTAGTTGTGGTAGTAGTGGTGGTAGTAGTCCTAGTAGTAGTGGTGGTAGTAGTGGTAGTAGTAGTCCTAGTAGTAGTGGTGGTAGTAGTGGTAGTAGTATGAGAGGCTTTCACGACCAATATCCATATGAGTGTTTAGTCGGTTCGATCGCGTAAATGTGAATGCTGTGTCGTTAAACCCCGCCACCACCCGAAATCAGCCTGTCGCCTGATGATTCCGGCGGTTGTGATTACCGGCGAAACGTCACCGGCTACTCGAATTGTAAAACGTTGTAGCGGGTTCACTCTCCAACACGCACGTGGTGTGGCGCTGTACTAGTCAACAATTGGCCACGTGTTGTTTACGTGTTTACACGAGACAAGCCACTACTAACTGCCTGCGTGTCGGGTGGTGGGGCGGTTTAAGGAGGCATTTATATTTTACGCGATGCAACCCCCCCCCCAATATTTATTTATTTCATTCCATGTTCACAATCTTATCTTTGAAAGGTGTGGGGGGGAGGGGGGGGGCGGAGTTTACATTTTTTTTCGGGCTGCCCGAGATTAGGTTTTCAGCTCATGCGTGAACAATATTGGTAATGAAGCAAGTAAGAATTATCGCGATAGTAATAATAATATTAATTGAAAGCCGCTGCAGAACGGCAGAATGTCGTTTTTTTAACGTTTAAATTGTGTTCAGTGCCGCCGCATGTCACGTGATGTGATGTAGTCACGTGGTGTGATGTAGTCACGTGGTGTGATGTTGTCTGGTGATGTAGTCACGTGATGTGATGTAGTCACGTGGTGTGATGTAGTCAGGTGATGTAGTCACGTGATGTGATGTAGTCACGTGATGTGATGTAGTCACGTAGTGTGATGTAGTCACGTAGTGTGATGTAGTCAGGTGATGTAGTCAGGTGATGTAGTCACGTGGTGTGATGTAGTCACGTGGTGTGATGTAGTCAGGTGATGTTGTCAGGTGATGTAGTCACGTGATGTGATGTAGTCACGTGGTGTGATGTAGTCACGTGGTGTGATGTCAGGTTATGTAGTCACGTAATGTGATGTAGTCACGTAGTGTGATGTTGTCAGGTGATGTTGTCAGGTGATGTAGTCACGTGGTGTGATGTAGTCACGTGGTGTGATGTAGTCACGTGGTGTGATGTAGTCACGTGATGTGATGTTGTCACGTGGAGTGATGTAGTCATGTTGTGTGATGTTGTCACGTGGTGTGATGTAGTCACGTGGTGTGATGTAGTCACGTGGTGTGATGTCACGTGGTGTAGTCACGTAGTGTTATGTTGTCAGGTGATGTCAGGTGATGTTGTCACGTGGTGTGATGTAGTCACGTGGTGTGATGTAGTCACGTAGTGTGATATTGTCGGGTGATGTAGTCACGTGGTGTGATGTTGTCAGGTGGTGTGATGTAGTCACGTGGTGCGATGTAGTCACGTGGTGCGATGTAGTCACGTGGTGTGATGTAGTCACGTGCAGTGATGTAGTCACGTGCAGTGATGTAGTCATGTGATGTAGTCACATAGTGTGATGTTGTCAGGTGGTGTGATGTAGTCAGGTGGTGTGATGTAGTCACGTGGTGTGATGTAGTCACGTGTTTTTTATGTAGATGTAGTCACGTTCCCGCATGGTCACGCACTGTCGCACTTTTGCCCGGTGCCCGTGCCGGATATTTAATACGGTGCCGAAACAAAAGTGGTATGTTACTGGGACCTTTGTGTGTGTACTTGTGTGTGTACGTGTGTGTGTACTTGTGTGTGTACTTGTGTGTGTACGTATGTACCTGTGTGTGGGTACGTGTGTGTGTACGTGTGTGTGTACCTGTGTGTGTGTACGTGTGTGTGTACGTGTGTGTGTACCTGTGTGTGTGTACGTGTGTACGTGTCTGTGTGTACCTGTGTGTGTACTTGTGTGTGTGTACGTGTGTGTGTACGTGTGTGTGTACGTGTGCTGCGCTATGAACCTGGCGACCCGGGTTCGATTCCCGCTCACGGCCAACACCAGTGACGATTATCTGAACCGGTCCCGGGCCTCCCCTAGGTCGACTCAGCCTCAAATGAGTACCTGGTGCGGTGTGTAAACATCGCCACTGGGGAGACAAAGGCGGTCGGGCGTGGTGCTGGCCACCCACCCGCTCGGGTACCGTTCCGGCCTTCATAGGTGCTCGCTAACAGCACTTGCCCCTACAGTCTGTTAAGGCTATATGGGGGATCTTTATCTGTGTGTACGTGTGTGTGTACATGTGTGTGTGTACGTGTGTGTGTGTCTGTGTGTGTACGTGTGTGTGTCTGTGTGTGTGTCGTGTGTGTGTCTGTGTGTGTGTACTTGTGTGTTTGTGTGTGTGCACGTGTGTGTGTCTGTGCGCTAGTGTGTCTGTGTGTGTATGGTCGCGCCGGAGGAATCCGATGGGCCGTGAAGCTCTTTATTCACAGATGTTCCAGTAACGGGGGCCCTCCCCAACCCCCCACGGGGGGTCAGAAGGTCACGACAAAAAGCGGTTTCAAAAACGCGACGGCCACGTTTACCACCGGCGCGTGGTCACTCTGGCGGAGCGGAACCATCGCCGCGATGCGGGGGGAGCGGTGTCCGTGCTACCGTCGCCGGCGATGTTCACGGCGCTCGTGGTTTTCTGACTTTCTCTCCGCCCTGACCCCCCCCCCCCCACACTCCGCTGTCCCTCTCCCCCCTTCTCTCATCGCAGGGCCCGCAAGGACCGCTGGGAGCCATCGGAAACCCGGGCTCGTCCGGAGAAAAGGTGAGGTTAGGTTTTATTTTGTCTCTCCTCCTCTTCCCGACGCGACCGTCAGAGTTTCCCGCGTGCCGGAGCGGTCGCGGGACGAATGTCCCTCGGGGAACGTTCCCCCCCCCCCAGCCCCCCCCCCAGCCCCCCCCCCAGCCCCCCCGCCATAGAAGCGGCAATAGAACGGAAGCGGATCTCACGGCTCGGCAGGACTCGTCATCGGCGTTGTCTACGTGTGGCTCTGAAAGTGTCTGATGATCCTGCCAAAGCCCTCGGCCCTCCAGACCCAACCAGCCCTGACCACTCCACTGTCCACCCCTCCACCCACACACCTCCACTGTCCACACCTCCACTGTCCACACCTCCACCCACACACCTCCACTGTCCACACCTCCACTGTCCACACCTCCACTGTCCACACCTCCACCCACACACCTCCACTGTCCACACCTCCACTGTCCGCACCTCCACTGTCCACACCTCCACTCCCACACCTCCACTCCCACACCTCCACTGTCCACACCTCCACCCACAGACCTCCACTCCCACACCTCCACTCCCACACCTCCACTCCCACACCTCCACTCCCACACCTCCACTCCCACACCTCCACTCCCACACCTCCACTGTCCACACCTCCACTCCCACACCTCCACTGTCCACACCTCCACTCCCACACCTCCACTCCCACACCTCCACTGTCCACACCTCCACTCCCACACCTCCACTCCCACACCTCCACTGTCCACACCTCCACTCCCACACCTCCACCCACACCTCCACTCCCACACCTCCACCCACACCTCCATTGTCCACACCTCCACTGTCCACACCTCCACTGTCCACACCTCCACTGTCCACACCTCCACTCCCACACCTCCACCCACACCTCCACTCCCACA